GTTTTCGTCTTCACGTTTATTATATTATGAATCATGACACCCAGACTAGTTATCGACAGTCGATATTCTATGTAGTTCTAGGTCTTTTCTCATGCTCAAAACAGGATTCATTTTTTAAATAGGGCCTATAGTTTATGTAGGCTAATATAATGAGGGGAAAATATGAATAAGTAAGAACAGACTGAAATACCAAAGTCACACAAGATCCCAGTGCCACACTGACATGTTGTTGACTGGATATAGTGTACCTACATGTGTGTATGTGTGTGTATTCACAAACGTATACATATATAAATGGAGCACATGCTGTCATTGTTATGAAACATATATATAAATGGAGCACATGCTGTCATTGTTATGTAACTTGCCCCTGGAAAGTGGATGAGGCCCCTCCCTTGGAAAGTTGAGAAGCTGGGTTGGCAGTCACCCAGCATTATAATCATCTATTGTTTGAAGACTATACTACAAAATGTACATTTGCATTCATTTAAAGACATTTGACTTTTTATCATTGATAGATGGGCTTTTTGGGGATCATTCTTGACGCGCAGCGGCCTTATTTTTTTCCCTTGAATTGGGGTCTTGAGAAAAATTTGGGGGTCTTGAAAAAAATTTCCAGGATTTGGTGAGGACCCTGTGTGAAAATCCAAACTCCAGACACAGCCAACAAACTATTCCATATATAAAAAATTCAACAGACAAATTTGAAATTTTATGATCGGATGAAAAATGGGGGAGTTAAAAAAAAAAGTACAGGCGAACCTGTGTAAGACAGAATCGCAATGGAGCCAGAAAAAAATTTCGGCTTAAGACATTTTCCGTCTTAGACAGGGGAATTAGCCGAAGATTTAAAGGGAGGGGGGTTCAAAGGTCCAGCCAATGGGATCAAGGATGGCTTGTCCGATCGTCAAGCTGTGGTCAAAACTTCACTCCTCTCAATTGTTATCCTGTCTGATAATGACATACGTCAGTCTTACTTATCCAATTACCACCAGTGCTTGCCTTTCATAGGACCACGGTTTGACCTATTAAAAACAGAAACGTTTGAACATCTCCTTTGCTTCCACCCTTAGCCCCACCCGCCGGTGTAACAAGCACAGTCAACCAATGCAACCCCTCACTGCCATCATGCAACAACGATTCAAGGAACTCTTTTCTCGGCTGGCCGTACGATCAGGGTGGCAGGCATTGGTCAATCTAATTTCACACCTCTGGCTTCTAACTACCCAAGAAAGTTTCCGTGGGGGCTCTCATGGCCTAGATATTAAGGTGTTCGTCTCTCATTCAAATTCAAAGGTCCTGGGATCGAATCTGGGTAGCGACGGAAACATTTTCTTCTCTAAAATTGTCTCCTTTCACCTTCTTTCCTGTTCTTTAGCAATATTCTGTCGTCTGCTTTTGTCTCTACTTTCTTCCCCCACCCCCTCACCTCCTTTGCCCCCTCCATTGGGCTCCTGACTCTTTCTGCAGCCTTTTTACTGCTACTCCTTACCTCCTTGTTACTGCTGTCTTTCAGCCACACCCCTGATCTTCTGGTAGGAAAGATCTACACATAGCCTTCTCGGACAAGGGCAAAAAATCTTGGAGGACTCGTTTGCAAGTTGCGCATGTTAAAGATCCCTTGGTAGTCTAAAATCGATAAAAGTAGGCTTTGACCGCCACCTGAGCAAAATTCAAAATTTCCTACCAACTGAAAATGTTAGGTGTGTCCTGCGCCCTCATATCACCTAATGCAGATGCGAGCGCCGTAAAACACTTTAACCCCCCCCCCCCCCCCAAATATTTTCGTAGTGGCTCGCTACTGGGGCACTCTCACGGGCAGTCGTGAGATTTCACACCCATCTGACCATCTGCATCACTCAGGGCTCACATGATGAGGTAACATCTACCCCCAAATTACACTCCTACTCCCCTTCCTTGCCCAGCGGCATGGCCATGGTGTTAAGTTTAGAGCCGGCGGAATCAAACTTGCGAGTTTCGTTTCAAATCAGGGCAGAGCGGGCAAAGCATTTTCTGTCTTAGACAGGTGAAACCCTCGGAAGGGAGCGGATTTTTCTTTCTATATCCACGTTGGACAGGTTTCCGTTTTATACAGGTAATTAAAGAGGAATATATCAAGGGGGGTGCGGGGAGATTCCGTAAAGGCAGGTTCAACTGTATATAGAAAAACTGCGTTTTGAGAAAACGGACGATAAAGAAAAATAAAAGATTGACTTATGAGGGAATGGTGGTGACATACATACCCAGTAAGGGAAGATATGGCTTTAAGGGGTTCTTATGCAATGAAATAATTGTAAGAGAGGCGGAAGAAGCTAAACATGCGTATAACTCATAATCCATAATTTTGAGTTGAATCGGAAGTGTAGCCCCCCCTTAAACAAAGTATCTGGTCTCATTGCTTGTTCATGCACCCATGATCAGTGGATAATTTGAGTTGTTTTCTCTCTTGATTATTATTTCATCCCAGTCCCACGATGGGTGGGATCTCATTCTTAAGCTGTGTTTTCTTTGACAGGCCGGGCTAAATGTTAGGATTTGTATCCGAATTATGTTCTGAAGCCTTTTCATCATAATTTCTTGACACGAGGCTGTCATTGCAAGACAAATTTCCAGGATCTGTATGAAAATTATATTCTGAAGCCCTCTCATTATCTTACACCACGCTCTAGATCCCCTCCCAAAATGCTTAAAGATGCCCACCAGCACTGAAACTTTGAGAGCTATTGTTTTTCTATGAATGTTTCATTTGGAAAAAAAACCCAATGATACACATATTTTGTCAGTGTCAGTGTTGACAGGGTATATGTAAGCTGTTAAAAATGTGTATTTGTTCCTACAGGAGGGGGAGGAGATGATGGTGGTGCTGCATCGACTGAAGATTTCAATACTGAATACGCTAAATCTGGTAAAAGTCGCTGCAGAGGATGTGAGGAGAATATTGCTAAGGTGATTGCTTGTTGTATGATATGTTTTCTTTGTTTATCTATTTACTTTTATCTAAGCACCTATGTTAAACATTTATAAATGTGACAAGCAAGTATTTTCTTGTACTTGTAAGCTACCCAAATCAAAGGGGAATATGCTAACATCTGAGGTCTAAAAGCCCTTTTTTATTTATGTGTTTATCTGTTTTTGGCCACTGTCTGTCCAATTTTTTACAGTGACGGTCTTTACAAGTAGACAAGTATGGTGAAAACAATGATTGTAATAGTTAATGAAACATCTACTTGTGCTGTAATTATTTTTAAAAAAATTTGTAATAATGTTGGTGAGCCTGGGTTTTCTAAACAGACATTTTATGAATAATTACCTTGCTACTTGTTGTTTTAGCTTTGTGTGATTGTTTATGTCATTGAGAAAAGAACTTGATGATTTCCTTTTTTTCTTTGTTTTTTTTCACTAAATTGTCTGTATTTTCTTTCTGCGTTAAATAGTTCCAAATAAATACACTGCGACTTGGATGGTTGGTGAGACCTTTGGTAGCTCCTACTACTTTTTTTCTTTCCCTCAGTTATTTCTGTTTGTCTGTCTTTTTTTCCTGCTTGAAATGAACATTATATATGTATCCGTATGCTTCCCATTATTTAAACTATAAATATGTGCATAACAATTTTTTTTTTCTTTTGGGGGTTGGGTGGTGCTTTGTGTGGTGTGCTACTTCATTACTATCAAACATCTATCGTCCTTATCTGTCCTTTTTTGTGTGTTTGTTTCTCTCTTGTACCACTTCTAAACTTTGGCACTTATGTGACCTAATTGTGTTGCAAGTGCCATAAGTCTCTTACAAAAACAAAATTTCTTTGTCTATTTTTGTACAGGATAGCCTTCGCATCAGCAAGAAGGAATATGAATCTCAGAGAGCCAAGATGTACGGACCCCAGGACTTGTGGCATCATGTTGACTGCTTTGTGGACAAACGAGACGAGCTTGGCTTTACTGAACAGTCAGACCCTTCAATGTGAGAAGCGGTGCTATCGGAAGTGCACTTTAAATTGAGCTGTTAGGCTTGTTTTAATAACTTCACACTGTTGAAAGGGGTGTGTAATCGATAAGATTACCAATTACTGTGCTAGAAAAGTGGAAGCCTCTGTACATTGTACTGGAACTGTGTTCATGACCGTCTCTCAGTTGACATAGGGAAAACATGTCTTTTGGATTATGCCATGTCAAGTTCTGGTGTGGATAGCCCTCTCCTTGAAATTTTCAGTGGGGTGGAGCTCTTGAACTTTGCTTGTTTCGGTGATTTTTAAGGCTCTCCATCTTCATGGTTTGGTTTTTTATTGGATGTGTGTTAAATTTGTAGGTCCCACTTCTTAAATAACTAGTGTTGAGTAGGGTGTATATACCACACACCACTCTCTTATGGCCCTAGGTGTTGTTAACTCTTTAACTGCCAGTGGGGTTTCCACAGCTGTGTTTGAGCTGTGAGTTGTATATGTAAAAAAAATGAAGGTGAAGGTTGAAAAGGTCAGTTGTGTTACTTTTTAAATAATAATAATAATAATAATAATAATAATAATAATAATAATAAATTACATTTATTTAGTGCTCAACTTCGCTTAATGTACATGGGCTCGGAACGCTTTACAATACAATAAAAAATAACATATAACGTTGTGTTCTGACCAAAAGAAAATCTCTTTAAATATTCATTTTATCAATTTAAAAACAAATCGGACAAAAGAGATATCTAAAGACCAAAGAACAAGAAGATTGTGGCAGAATAAAAATATTTATTTTTAGAATGTGTTTAGGCATTGAGAAAAAAGAGTCTATAAATACACCCTGATCCATAACCCATTAAATGTTGACGAGGGGATGATTTGCCACTTACTCATGTATGAAGTCAAATTTGCTGCGAAGGACTCTTGGGGTGGATTCTTGTGCTAGGAAATTGATTTGGATGTTTGTTATGTTTCTTGGCGCTTTCAGGATTGTGTGACAGGGTGACTGCCAGGCCCCGGGAATTTGATAAAAATGGCTGAGACCCGGGAATGCCCCGGGAATTTGAGGAAATCTGTAAATTGCCCTTGATAAAAGGCGGGAAGACCCGCGAAAATACGTAAAGTGCTCGCTTATTTAAAAAATCAAATCCGATAAGGTCAGTAAATTCATTTTTGCTGGTCGCAATTGTGATATTTGTTCGGCTTTTCCTGGTCTGAGAGTACGTTTCACGCAAAGGGGCAGTGTTTCATTGGATGGGTGATAGTAAATTATAACTCTATTTTAGCTTTCTGTTCAAGATTGGCAGATTTTTATTTCAGTGTCACTGCCCTCTCAGTTCTTACAACTCTCACACTGAATAGGTCTACTTGAGTCATTCAAGTTTTTACTCTACTTTGAGTTTGAACAATAATTTTTGTCTTTTACATTTATTATTTGAACCATGACACCAAGACTCGTTTTTGACAATCATATTCTGGTTCTAGGCCCTTTCACAGGCTCAAAGCAGGATTCATTTTTATAATATATGAAATATATATGAGCAATTGCCAAAACGTGAGACTCTCTTGAGACTCAGTGATGCAAAAAAATTTTCTTAACAATTTGACTCTTTTTTCTGTCAGTCACAGATTGATATTTAGTGCTCATATTCCTAGAGTATCAGAGCATGGAGATGTACGGTTTTGGAGATATGGGTCTGTTGGTTTGGCAACTACTGTATTTCTTGTATGTAACAGTGATGACAAAAACAGATAAGCAGCAAGGCAAATTATGGACTTTAAATTCCATTTGTTTAGTAAACAAAGACTTTGTACACTATGAACTCCATTCATAATGGTAATATGAATGACAAGCTTTGTAACAATGACGCAGTGCACAGAACATGTCATCATTGTTATGTACAAGAAAGGATACACATTGGACATTATCATTGACAATACATCACAATAGTGAAAGGCTGTACAAATACAGTTATCAAAGCCTCAGTACCAGAAAAACACATGTGTAAAACAATTTTTAAACTAATATGAGGCAAAAGCACAAAATCAATGGAGCTGACCTGTACATAACAGCGGTGACAAACATGATTTGTACATAACAATGATGACACAATGTACAGGAAAAGACAAAGTCATGCCTTCAGAGAGGAATGCGCACTTTAAGAATAAAAAAACCCCAGGAGAGGTTTCTTTTGCTTTGAAACAGATATCAGGTCTTATCAAAGACAGTGGACGATCACAATTATGTTGCTAATTATGACAAACAGTACTCGTACATAACAGTGATGACAAAACATACTGGGAAAAGGTAAAATCATGCCTTAAAAGAACAAATTTGCACTGAGAGATACACAGATCAATAAAGGCGTATTTTGCTTCTAAATGAATCTTGCATGTATGAAATATATGTTGAAAACTTATTGATATTAGCAATGATGACAAATATTACTTATACATAACAATGATGACACAATGTATTGGAAAAAGGTATATCATACCAACAAAGAACAAATGTGTATTTTTGAGTTAGACAGACAAACAAGGACATGTTTGTTTATTTGTTTGAGTAAAGAGAGCACACATTACTTAAAAAATGTTTGCTCTTAGGACAATGTAATTTCTAGTACGTCAGTCAGTCTTGTACGGCTGCATGACGACACCCCAAACGTCATCACTAAGCACAAAAGCTAAATCTATAACCACAGAAATGATCCATCTCTCGAAGTTTGTTCACACATCACACTCTTGTTCCAGGAATCCAGTATAAACACCGCAATTTCACTAAAATATTCTACAGAGTAGCCTAAAAACACGCAAAACTGTCTAGTACATCACATTCAACGCAAAATTCTTGTGCGTCACTGGATGCTGAAGGCAATGACTACTTTCGTTTTTCTGTTTCCCCCGTTGCTTCCGTTGTTCTGAGGAAGCGGGTAAGGGGAAGTCACTCAAGAAAACAATTATATCCGGGCACTGTTGATGACCCGTTCAAAACAAAAGTGGGCGAAATTCGGACTTCCGACACGTCGCAAGTTGACGACAATGATGGCGAATGTTAAACAGCTGACCGAAATCATAGATCTAGGAACCCGATGCTCCTTTCGCGCATCGCCGCTTTTGAAGTATTGAATAAACGACGATAGGCAAAAAGATTTAACCAGCTACGGTGATTCTACTGAAAAATAATGGTGTTTTCTGAAACACCTAGTCCGTGACGACACGACTGACGCACAAGTGATCCGAATTGCCGATTTCTTGAGCAATTTAACCTTTCTCGATGACAAATAGCATAGGATCAAAGCACACGTAAAAAAAAACCCACCCAAAAATACTAAATTTTGGACATTCTTGGAAGTTTGCATTGGTGTGCTCAAATGACACTCCAGGAATCACTAAAAAACTAACATTTTTGGCACAAAATTTACAAATTCAAGAATATAAAGCTGACATGGGGTCTGAAACTGCTAATGCAGGTTCTACATCCTATATTTCACATGTGTATAAGTTTTGGAGGAATTAATACTAATGCATCACATTTTATGCACTCTAATGTGAGATGTGTGTGTTTTTCCCCACGTTTTGGCAATGGCTCATATAGAAAATGAATAGGGGAAAATATAAAAAAGAACAGACTGAAATACCTAAGTCACACAAGACTCCAGTGCCACACTAATATTTTGTTGACTGGATTATAATTTAGGCTATGTACTTGTGTGTGTGTATGCATAATATATATAATATGTGTTGATATATATAATATATACTTATACTTGAATGGAGTATGTGCTGTCATTGTTATGTATCATGCCCCTGGAAAATGGATTGCACCTTTGGACAATTGATAAGCCCGTCTGGCAGTCACTCTGGGGTGTGATGTAATAGGCTACTTGCTGGAAATGGGTTCAACTCGCAAAAAGTTTCTCTGTGTGTATGTGGGATGCTACATCTCACAGCTTCCCAACCGTTTACCTCATAAATAATGCAAATTTTGGTAATAGGGAGTAAAATTATACAGTAATTGCAGTTTGTTCACCTGACTGAGCAGTCTTACTCCTAGAAGTGCTTAGAGGAGAAATAGTTTCTACACAAAAACTTGTATTTGTGGGGAATGAGAGGAAGGGGTTGAACTTTTAGAATCGTTTTAAAGACTTTAATGTTTTGTGTACTGGAATAACCACTTGGTGGGAAAAAAAAGCACATTGAAGAGAATTTGGAAGATAAAATCAGTTTATTGAAGCTTTTATATGTTTCTTAAATCTTCGTTTGAAAACGAACAGATGAGCAAACTTCTGAATTTTCATGGAGTTTTGGGAGGTAGAAATAAGTGATGTGGGGAATTTTTTGTAGATTTCCTGTTTGACTTGCCTATGAATAATCAATTTTTTCCCCTTTCACTGTTATGTAACATGATTTTTTGATCTGACAGAATCAAAGGATTTGCCAAACTCAAGCCAGAGGACAAAGAATTGCTCTATGCCAAACTTGGCAAGGGGAAAAAGGCGTAAGTCTGTCTGTATTGTTGCATAGAGAAGGAACTTTTAAAAAATCATAAACATCTAGAGCTCATACACCTGAAAAGGATTTAATACATTTTGTTATGGTCAGCCAAAGATTTGTCTGGCATATATTTTACTCCTCCTTTTGTTTTGTTGAACACATTAGTGGTCAGACATCCTGTGGCTGACAGATCAGGCAGGATCACGACTGCCAATCATGCTTTCTATGAAACAGTGTATCCATCACTTACCTTGTAATAATTTTTGTTTTACGGTATTTGTGCTTAGTTGTGCTTAAGCGAACATTTGGATAATAATAATATGGATATAGAAAGTCATACTGATATATTTAAAACCTTTCTTCGAAGTGAGTATTTTCGTCAGTGGTTTAGAAAAAAGCCTTGCTGAGAGATAAATATATTTTTTAGCAGCATTTAAGTGTCAACATAAAAAAAAATTATTCCCTTTACTGTTTTGATTGACAAGTCACATGCTTTTTTCCTCGTGTTATGTGTGTACTGTTGGCAGGCAATACTAAGTGGTTCCCTCTATTGTCTTAAATTTGTACTTTTAGGGAAAAACGCAAAGGAGATGACAAGAAAGACGCTGGTGGGAAAAAGGCAAAGAAGGAAGAAACGGAAGAAGAAAAGACGTTGAAGGTTTGATTTGGTTGTTCTTCCTTATTTGTGACTGAATTGTTACCCTGTTTGAAGTAGAAGCCGTTAACTTTTGAGCCATACCAGACCGGTGAGCCTGTGCTCCTCTGGGTTGACTGCAAGGTTTGTAACTTGCTACACTTGTGAGGGGTGTGTGGTAAATATTTGGTGAACAAATTGATTAACATATAGTATGCTCAGGAGTGCGTTCAGGTCCATAGGCTTAAGTGTGATCTAGAAACTCAAATTTTTCTTTTATTTCTGTAGTCATTAAGTTTGAATGTGAGGGTATTTAATTCTATCGTTTTCTTTATGTGAGAAAGGTCCTGAAAAATGTTACAGTCGCTCAAACAGGAATAAACTGACAAGATCTGTTGTTGTCTCTTATCGGGTACTCATTCCCACCCGAGTGAAGTGTGGAGAATTTATGTAATGTGGGTTTCCCAATGACGTCGGGCTCCTGGCTGGATGTGAACCTGCAACCTTGCAATTGAGAGAGACAGGGTGTCCAGCAAGATCGTAAAGCCATGAAAAAGTTGTAAATTCAGCGCCCTGGTTGTAAAGGTCGTAAATGGTAGTAAATGTGCCATGGCAGTGGTAAACAGTAAACAGTTGTAAATTAAATCTGCGTACAGAGCAATGAACCTGGCAAGACTTTTCAGTGAATGATCTTTGGTAGTATCAGTATCTTGGAACTTGAATATTTGAAAAGCAAATTTCACAGGTTTGACTGTAGTAATGAGAGGAGAAAATAACAAACTGAAATACTTCAGTCAAACAAGACCTGCGTGCGACACTGACATGTTGTTGGATATATTGTACATGTGTGTGTATGTGTGTGTGTGTTGATCTGTACCATCCCCATGGAAAATTGAGAAGCCTGTTTGGCAGTCACCCTGTGTGCACGCATTAGGTCTAAACCTAGCGAAGAGCGAGCGTGTGATCGTCTGTCTATCCTCCATTTTGTCGACTGGACTTTGTTGTATGTTATTTTCATTTTTGATGGAGGAGTAAAACATTTTAAAGAAGAATTGCTCAACATAAAATGAAGATGTAATAATAATAATTATTATTATTATGATAAATAGAATGTATGCTGCACATTTCCATTTTCTAAAAATGCTTAATGCGCATGAATGATTTCAGGAGCAGAGCAAGTTGCTGTGGGAGTACCGTGACAAGCTCTCCAAAGATGTCTCCAACAATGCCATGAAACTGTTGCTAGAGCTGAATGGTCAAAGTATTCCGTCAGGAGAAAGCAAAGTAAGTCACTATTCACTGAAAAGGTTCAGTCTTTGTACTAGTACCATTGTGAACGGTGCTGTGCAGTGGTCTTTCCCTTTTTTAACATCTCACCACTATAACTAATGATATAAGTGGATGACGAAAACAGACAAAACAACAAAGTTAAAAAATTATTTGAAAGATATTCTTTTCAAATGTAAGAAAAAGCTAGCATCAGTTCTTCCAAATTTCAAGTTTTTATCTTGATTGGTTTTTGAGTTTATAGCTTTTAAAGTCATTGTGCTTATGGAGCCATCTCTTTGAAATAGGACTTTGAGAGTACTTCCATTGATTTAGCACATAATTTTCAAGGGATAATCAAATTGTACCCCATAACCCCATTTGTGGCCTTAATAAATGATGAATTGGCACAATGTGAAGCATAGCGAAGAATGTTTGACATATGTGATGGGTGAAGGTTCAATGAGTGTCTTGTTTTTGTTGGAATCTGCTTAGCTAGATTGCGTACAGAAAACGTGAGCTCAATTACTGCAAGGAGAAGTTATGTAATCAAGTATCTCTGTCTGCTGGAATTCTGCATCCTACTCAGTTGGATCTGGACCAAGCAGATAACAGAACAGCCTGCCTCTGAAGTAATGTAAATTGTTTCAATAAGAGCACAGGATATTTGCAATCATTTGAGTTTGGCTTTTTATTGACTCGTCTTCTGTTGTAAGTGCTCTTTTGAGATAAGGATGTCTGATCCAAAGAGACGAATGTTCTACTCAAGAGATTTTGGTGTAATTACTCGAAGAGCATTTTAACTCTTTGTCTCCGAGGGGCGCAAACCCACTACGCCGGGGCCCTTTTTTGGTACTAAATCTAAAAATGACAAAAACATCTCTAAATGGGTCATTAAATTGAAACTAGGGAACCTATTATGTTAGTACTTCATCTAATTAATGAACTTCCAGTATAAGAGACCTGTTTTCGGCAATTGCCGAAAAGCAATTTGATTTCGAAGTCGTTGTAAAGGAATGTGCCCGAGCCACTGTCAGCGGCTCACCGACACAGTGGTTCCGACCGCGAGCCGCTGGGAGCAGCTTTCGAGAGATAAAGAATTAAAACTTGTTCACTGTCATTCTATTACTTGGTTTTGGGCTTTTTAGCTATTTAAGAAGAATGTAGTGTCTTTGACCATTCTGATAATGCATACTGTTTATTGATGTGGACTAAATAGAATTATTTTTCTTTAAAGACAAAGAGACAATGGGAAAATACATACGGTAGTATGTGGACATGGACAGTGTTTATGCTTTTAACGCTTAATGAGATGCTGAAGTAGATGGTGGGTTTTTTTGTTGTTGTCCTTTCAGCTCTTGGATACTGTTGCTGATTGCCTTGCCTTTGGATCCTTGGATAAATGCCTTGAGTGCAAAGATGGGCAGTTGTACTATACGTAAGTAATGCTAAAGTTTGCTTTCTTTCAGCATTGTGAGCAGTTGATGGACACATCAGTGAATCAAAATACTAACTCTTTCACTCTACAGCAGTTGGAAGACATTGTGCTGACTCTACATAAACTACTAGTGAACCATAATTCTCTGGTAATGTTTGGGGGGGGGGGGAATCTTTCAGAGTTCCTATTAATGTCTCACTCTCCTCTCTTCTCCAGTAAAATTGGCTTGATCAAGCACAGTAATGTAGTGTATGTGTACACATGCACTGTTACCAGTGAGGAAGGAAACTCGCATCCCTTGTACAGTGCTTCCACTCTTCCGTATTTTTACGGAAATCCGTACTTTCTGCCAGTTCCGCACTTGTTCCTCATTCCATTCATCATCAACTCCCTCCGTTAAAAAAACTGCGACAGCGCAGGGCTGCAGAAATTCCGTACTCGCCTTCCTATCGTCTTATAGTTACGGATATTTACGGTAGTTCTCTCGGCAACAAGTTAAAGTTATTGAAACCTGCCAGATTGCGCTTTTCCTGCAATCGGCCATTATTCAATGTCCCTTGAAATCATTGCGGGTTGGTCGGCAGTACATTTTTTACCTGCAGGTGGATCAAAATCTGGCGAACCTTTTTTGCCAATTTTCTCCTTTCTATCATTCACTCATTCCTTCTGTCTATCTTCAGATTGTTGCCACGGCTGGAAAATCTGCGCATTGATCAAGAAAATTGACTTGCGATCTTAGACAAAAAAATTACTGTCAGAAAGAAACTTTTTTTGCAAATTTGTCTAGATCTAGATCAATTATCAATGCGAAGATTCTACGGCACGTGAACGCAATAAGGGCAGCGATGAAAGAAATAATAATATGCTGATACGCGAGTGCCCACTACGAGACAACGGATGGGATCGGCCGATCGCGCTGATCGCCCGACTCGGTCGCCTCAAAAACAAACGCGTTTTCAGTTTCAGGCGATCGAGTCGGGCGATCGGCCCGATCCAGCCGTAGGTAAAATAAAAAATAATTCGAAGTGGTGTTCTGAGGTTGTGACAGGCGACATTCAGACGTGAAAATTGAGAAAAAATTTGGGTATACGCTGCGCAACTGTATTGTGAAGGTACATATATTCATTATGGAAAGCACTATTCCCATTGACACTGGGGATAGGCCCAGAAACTATTCCCAGTGTCACTGGGAATAGGACCAGAAACTATTCCCAGTAACACTGGGAATAGGCCCAGAAACCACTGGCAAGAGGGCCTAGGGCAGAATTGTTTCCAGTGTCACTGGGAATAGGCCCAGAAACTATTCCCAGTGACACTGAGAACAGACACGCCCATTAGATATTTGTTCCCACACTGATCTACATGGGCATGATGGTGATGGGTTACTAAATACTAGACTAGATCTATATCTATAGATCTAGATCTAGATTCTAGATCTAGATCTAACTAAATTAAAGTAGAGTCTGGTGTGAGTTGAAGAATTTTTTTTTTTAGAAAAAGGAATTCTCGTTCTAATCTATGCTTGCTTGTTATTCAGTCGTAATTTAAATGTACGTGTAAATCTAGATTCTAGATCAACTGAGAACAGACAGGCCCATTAGATCTATTGTTCCCACACTGATCTACATGGGCATGATGCTGATGGGTTACTAAATACTAGACTTATATCTAATGCAGATCTAGATCTAGATTTAGATCTAACTAAACTAAAGTTGATTCTGGTGTGAGTGGAAGAATTTTTTTAAAGAAAAAGGAATGATCATTCTATGCTTGCTTGTTATTCGCAGTCGTAATATAAATGTCCGTGTAAATCAAGATCTACATACGGATTTTGGAGACCACGGTACAGGACAGGTAGAAATCCTTCCCCATTCTTCTTTCTTTTAGATCTAGTTCTAGTTCTATATCTAGATCTAGATCTTTTCTACGGTCAAGTCTAAGCCCTAAGTAAGAGAAGAGAACAAAAGTAGGCTGAACTGAAGTGAGAAGAGAGTCTACAATGCAAAGACTTCTGATTTTTTAATGTAAAAGAGTTCCATTGTCACTGGGAATAGTTTCTGTACCTATCCCCAGTGTCACTGGGAATAGTCACTTCGATTCATTATTCCCAGGTTTGCCTGCTATCAATGGTGCGACGTCAAATTAATTGAATTATAGTAGCAATGAAAGGGGAACCTGCTTAAACAATGCCAGCAATGGAAAGATATGTTGGTGAAGAAATCAAACAAGACAAAATGTTGGTGAAGAAATCAAACAAGACAAAATGTTGGTGAAAAAATAAATGTTATGGGCTCTAGTCTAAGCAATCTCTTCAAACAGGCTCCCAAATGCCATTTTCAACCCTCTAAAAGCACTCAATTTCAACTTCTTTGGGGGCTTCGCCCCCTGATCCCCCACCCGGGACGCTGTCCCTGGACCCTGCTGGGGGCCTCTGCGGCCCCTAGACCCCCGGCAGAATTTTCCTTACTTTTCAGCTTCAGCTGGTGGAAGCGCTGCTTGTATGAATGCGCTATAGCAAGTTTCTGGTATCTTATTGTCAGTGCATATTTTAAAAAAAAGTATAAAACAGGTAAGTATTTATGTCAGTGTTGCAGAAATTGTATGTTGTTTATATGATCGCTAACAACATATGTGAGCATGTGAGTACGGAATAAAGAGAGTTAAAGAACGAGGGATGGAAAGACTCATTATTGCACAGTGTGCTAGTAGCAGTGGAAATTTCTGCCTTTTAAAGGGCACTGGAAACATGAAGGTTTTAATGATTTGTTATCATGTTAATGTGAAAAGAATTTTCAAAATCAATACTGCCGTGCCAAGGCAGAGGGACGTATCTGCACTTTTATGATTTTGAGTAAATTGCGAAAAACTTTTGAACTTTTGCCTGCCGAAAGTTTTGCTTGAATTCAAGCCTTCTTTTGCGTGACAGTGGAGTAAATGTGAGGCATCGTGGTGAAATCAGGCGCTCGTGAGAATAATGAAATCTTGAGAAATCTGCATTTTTTGGCAAGTTTGGACATTTTTTCTCTCGAATTTTTGTTTTTAGGCTCAACACCTTGTATATCCATTCAAAAACACTTTTATGTGTGGATTTTTTGGAAAACGTTGATTAAAGACACAAAAAATGTAAATTTTGCGGTTTCCAAGGACTCTTAATCTATGGAAGTCATCAAACTGGTGGCCATTTTCTCGCAAGTTTTTACCTCTGAAACCAGGCGGCCTCACCTCCTTCAATCACAAATATCTGGACTTCTATTCAAGATAAATGAATATTTTTTTCATCAAAAGCAAAGCAAATGAATAATCTTTAAGATGATATCAATAACTCCACAAGCCTAAAAATTGATGAGCGCCTGATTCCACTGGGTCGTGACACAAATAGTTGTTATTTAATATGCAAACTACGTAGTTTAGGCAGAAAACGACGTAAATGCAGATACGTCGCTTTGCCACCGACTTTTCTAGTAAACATATACATTTGCTTTCTATGGCAAAACGACATAACACAAGAAACTTATGAAAATTTACCAAAACGACCCTTATTTATAACATATTTTTAATACGACTTCCTCTAGAACTGTTAACGTTATTGGAAATGTGTTTCACAGTTTTGACTCCTTAATTTTGCACTAAAACACAAAAAATAAATCGATAAGCGTAGTGTCCCATTTTGTTGAAAGTGAAGAACAAATTTAAAGTGCATTTTACATGAATTAGAAAAAACTCTTGAACTAAAAGAAATAATGTACATGTAGTTGAAAACAAAAAGAATCAATTGGCAATTTATGGAAATTTTTTCCCAATCATAAAATTTTGGAACATGTTATTATTGTACCAGATGTTTCACTGTTCAATGTTGTAACTAAATTGGAAAAGAAAGATGTCAACATCAAAGTTTACTATTCTATTTACTTTACGCTGTTGACTATTTTCAATATACTGAACAGTTTCGAAGGCACTGCATCTGTTATTGAAAATAAAAGGTCTATGTGTGTATAGCTGGCAAGAAACTCGTTAACCATCGAACATAGTTTTAGACTTAAGTCATAAAATTATCGATTTTTAATGGCAAAAAACATGAATATAAGTAAGTCTCCTTGACATAATAGTCTGTAAATAAAGCCGATCAAACAAAAAATTGATTTAAATTAATCTGAGTGAAAAGGAACAGTGTACATTCTGTGAAGCTAACACTCATGACTAACAAACATTGATGAGATCGTCAGCTATATCATTTGTTGGCAGCTGTTCCCAGAACAAAACTCTAGACTGGGGCATCAGAGGACACAGATTCGTGACAATTCCTTTCCTTTTTCGATGTAGATATACCTCTAGAAATGCTCCTGTCCTAAGGCAGGACACTGATGTCACAATACTTCTTCAAGAAATCAGCGGCAATAAAAGGGCTGTCATCTCAGTGAGCCTTCTTGAAGAAGAGCAATCGTACCCCTCTTCTGAACTGGACAGTTGCCATGTCCGAGAGCTTGTGGCCGCCTTTGTTAACTGTGGCTCTGTTGGAGAGGTCTTTCCAACATTTGAAGTTGGTTGCTTCCATGTTAATCACTTTGCATCGAGCCTTCTCCAGGGTATCAACATACTCTTGAAAGTCCCTGACGTCCCCACACTTTTAAAATTCTCTCTTGATGCTGTGATGCACAGAATCAGCAGCCATGAATGTGTGGCCTGTTTCAAGATATTTAAAGGTGATCTCATCGGCCAAGATGTCTTGGCTGTTCACAGCTGTGGCAAGAAAACTGAAAAAATGTCAGTTCTTATTCTGGGCGCTGCAGTTATCGGCCCACAAGATGAAGGATTTTGCATCTCTGTTCTTGAAAAAGCTCCAATAGGAATAGCAGATGGCATTGGTGTTTTTTATCAGAAACCTACTCGTTCCAAACAACTGCAACCTTGTTGCTTGATTTGCCATTCCTGCAAATATCTCGTTAAACACAATGATTCTTCTTCTCCTTATGTACTCTGAATGGTGTTGGCACAGTTCACACTCACAGGTCTGTGATCGCCTCTGTCACCGATGTATTCGAGAGTCTTTTGCATATCTTGCACTCTTCAGCGCCCAGCAAAACTGATGTTCATCCTTTTCACTTGCTTTCGATATGTCTTAAAACAGATTTTTCTCACCTCTCGACAAAAGTCAGCATGCAAATCAGTTATTGTAATGTCTGACGGAAGGTAGAGGCGATTTGATGCGTGCTCCCTTCGAGAGTGATGCACTGCTGAGTTATATTTTAGTATGTGGCGGGAAATGTCATCATGAACCAGCTTGTTGTTGGGTTCATGCTTCCATCGCTTGTCAGCAGCAGGACTTGTGCTTTCAACCGGAGCACTTTCCAAAATCCTTATGACTGCAGAGTCACTCTTTTCATTGCTACCAAGGGTAGTAAAATAAAATACTTTGCAAACAGCTTTCAAGCCTCCACCAGATTCCATAGATTGCCATAGGAAGTAACGGTACGTTTTCGCACGCCTAGATGAATTGCCAGTAGTATAGGGTTAGGCTGCTTTATACTTTATGCTGTTCCAAACGAACTGTCTCCTAGTTTCAGGGTGAAGGGACCAAATCTCTTTATTTATTGTTTTTCTTTCCTCAATGCTGAATGTCTTGTTGCATTCCATCTTGCACAAGTCAGTACGCCCTTTTTTCACAGGATGCAATTCAGCATCTCTTGTATTGTGCTCTTAAATGGTCCTTGCTTTTTTCCTCTTGAATACAGGAGCAGAACGATCTGGAGTGGGTGAAAGAAGCTGCATTGGTGGGTCGTTACAGGCTGTGGCAGAGCTTGAAGGAAGTTGCGTTGGTGGGTCGTGAGAGGCTGTGGCAGAGCTTGAAGGAAGCTGCGTTGGTGGGTTGTGAGAGGCTGTGGCAGAGCTTGAAGGAAGCTGCGTTGGTGGGTCGTGAGAGGCTGTGGCAGAGCTTGAAGGAAGCTGCGTTGGTGGGTCGTGAGAGGCTGTGGTAGAGCTTGAAGGAAGCTGCGTTGGTAGGTTGTTATAGGCTGTGGTAGAGCTTGAAGGAAGTTGCGTTGGTGGTTTGACGGTGGTAGAGGTATTAACAGTAAAAACATTTTCATAATTGGAACTATTTTGAGAAGCACTGCTGATTGAACGTCGTATATTGATGCATCCTTCCTTTTTTTATTTGGAGACTCATCTTTGCTGCTCGTGTCGGAATCAGGCTCAGGAATGTATGACAAGGCGTTATCATCATCAATCATCTGATCCTCTTTTGATTCTGTCAGTTAGAGCAGATCACGAACCTCTGCAGAGTCTATATAATGACGCTGAAGAAGACAAAACCAAAACAAATATCTATTAATTTTTTACCCGCACAATGGGGACATTGTCTTCTTTTTTTTTGCATAAAGATATACTTATAGACGACTGCACTCTTAAAGCAGCTAAAGATACCCTAATGACTAATAAAAATTAACAAAGCATAAATTACTTTATAAGTTTTAAGAAATCAAGTTAAAAAAACATGAACATAGACTCTAAAAATGCAACAACAAAAAAAGATTTAAAAAAGAACAATTTTTTTTAGCACTATCAGAATCGAACCAGTATTGTGTACATCTAGAGTCAAGCTCGCTTCAAACTGAGCCAATTTCATGACATGGCGATTGATAAGCAGAAACCACCTAAATATTTCCAATACTGAGCTGTTTAGCAATAAATTTTTTTATTTTTGGAATCTTCAGTATCAAAGGTACATCACGGCGCTATTCTAACAACCATATGTAAAGGCTGATTTTTCAAACTCATAAATCAACAAGTGCCTTGACATAGAACAGATCATTTTTTTGTTCGTTCAACAATACAGTATCATGAATCTGGATCACTGAGTCTAAAATCTAGATCTAGATCTATCCACACTTTATTTTAAAACTATTTTGATATTCTAAATTTGGTTTTAAATTAAAATCTACTCACCCTTTCAGCTATTATCTTGACTAGAAAATGCTGTCTGATTGATAAAACTTGAAGGAAAAAGTCGGTGATTGTGAGCAATGTTTTGGTTTGATCTCACCAACACGGAGCATGGGTTACATCCGGTGCAAAGATATGCTTCTTGACGTAAATGCAAACTTTGCATGTTTGATCCAGGCAGAGCGATGCAACTGCACAGATACGTCGGTCTGCCTTAGGAAATGCAGTTACGTAAGCTGCCATTGGAAATATGGGCATGGCTCTTCAGTTACGTCTGTTTGCCATAGTGAAATATCCTATTTATAGTGCAGATGTGACTTCCTGCCTTTGACACAAGATGCAGAATGGGTATGGGTGTTCATTAAAATGAAGGTGCAAAAATTAATAACTTTTGCAGATATGTCGGTCTGCCTTGGCACGGCAGAGTAGAAATCCAAGATTTGAAGTCTTTTGTATAGGATTTGTCCTTTATTATGTTCATATCACAGATTTCATGATGAAGAGATGAATAAGCAATGCTCTTTTGTAAGTGTGTGTATGTGGGTGTAATGCAATTTTATGATTTGTTTCTTCCACATCTTACACAGAGCTGAAGGCTACAAATGTTCAGGGAATGTGACCGAGTGGACCAAATGTATGAACACCACAAAAGTGCCCAAACGAAGAGCTTTTAAAGTCCCCAAAGAATTCCATGATGTTCCATTCTTGTAAGTTGTACCTCTTTTTGTTAGTAAGGGCTCCGACATGGTCTGCTTCTTCTGCTTCTTTTCAGCATTGCTGTTGTCTTCACATTTCTGGTGCCTTGCAGCTGCAGTGAAAACTGTCTGAATTAGATACATTTTCCAAACTAGCCTTGTACTCTGGAAATAACTGAGTACTCTGGGGTTTTTGGGGGCTGTGGAAGCACCATGATGAAATTTTCACGAAATCCATTTTTTTTTTCTTCATTTCAGTTTCTTTGAGGTCACATTCAACTTATCATTACTGAGAAAAAACACATTTTATTTGTAATATTTGCATGATTTATTGTAAATGACATGAAAATACATGTATTTTATTAGCATTTATTTGCAATATTTGGTCGACTTATTGTAAAGGATGTGAAAATACGCATTTTCATTTGCGTCTATTTTCAGTACTATTTGTCACTGTCAGTTTGTTACTTAACAGTAATTTACACACACACTCTCTCTCTCTTTCTCTCTCTCTCTCTCTGTCCCCCTCTCTCTCTCTCTCTCTCTCTCTGTCCCCCTCTCTCTCTTCTCCCTCTCTCTCTCTCTCTCTCTCTCTCTCTTCCTCTCTCTCTCTCTCTCACTTTCTCCCTTTTCTCTCTCTCTCTCCCCCTCCCTCTCTCTCTCTCTTTCTCTCTCTCTCTCTCTCTCTCTCTCTCTCTCTCTCTCTCTCTCTCTCTCTCTCTCTCTCTCTCTCTCTCTCTCTCTCTCTCACCCGTACCTCTCCTATAGCCCTTCCCAATGTACTTATTTTACTGCTGCTTTTACCAAAGAAAGGGCATGGTATTTTCTCTCTGAATATTACCATTATATGCTGAATTGTCACATGCAACAACTCACCTCATGTCATTTTAAGACCCATTTTGACCAACTTTGTTGGCAGGAAGAGCTACAAGTACGTCAAAAGAGAACGGGCATTCCCTCAGCTATCTGTGGCTTCCTCTTCTGGTGTGGTCAGCTCCTCTCTAGACTCTGTGGATGGACTGTGAGTCATTTGCATGTTTATATGACATTTACCTTAACATTGCCTTGTTTTTTCGTTTTTTATTACTGTTATCTCTATTTTAATTCTTTTTCTGCTCATGGTTTGCATTTACAGTTTGATGCGATACTCTCGTGCTTCTTCAACTTATTCCTTAACTGTTGGATCTTTTAGGAGGTGTCTTTCACATGTTATGTTGTCTCATTTTTCTGGAAGTGCTATGTTTTGTTGGTTGTATGATGTTTTCAAGATTTGATTTTTGTGATGGACGAGACCTGCAAGCAATAGAATGGCTAGGTCTAGAAAGATACAGTCAAAATTATTCCATTGTCGAGGAGAAAAGTGTTGTCTTTGACAGGTTGACGTCTTGGACAGTATCGTTATGCTGTAGAAAAAACAAAACAAAAGGGGGAAAAGGAAAGTGGTCTTTGTACAGGTGACTGTCTTGGACAGGTGTTTGTTGGAGCAGCTTTGACTGTTTTGCAAATTGAAACTTATGCCATAATCATTTTTAAGTTGTTTTCACCTCGAAATATGAACCTTGGCCAAATAGAAGCCAGTGTTCAAAGCAAATTTTATCGGGTGTGGCTGGAATGAAAGACATTCTTGTTAGTATTGGCTCTACCTTGCAAACTTCTTTTGTGAGATCAGAAAATATTTAAATTTAGGCTTCAAGACCTTATATTTCACTTCCTGTTCACATGTTTAAAAGTTTTAAAATGTGGACTTTTTAATGAATGTCTCTATTTAACCTACTGAACTGCATTGAACACATATATTTGTATTTGTAAGTATTATGTTGGTTGATATATTTCTTGATGATTGGATACAAATCAGAGGAAATGCCAATGAAAGTTTGACTTCTGCTAAAGAATTCCAGTTTTCTTGATCTTTTTGTGTGGATTATTGGAGGATGCCTTTAGTTTATGCTTTGTTTTTGTTTTTTTGGTGCTTTTTTTTTTGGGGGGGGGGGGGTATGTTTTGCTTGTTCCTTGCTCTAAATGGCTGTTATTGTATTCAGTGTGCTTGTCTTTACTCAAACGGTCCTTTTGTTGCTGTGTCCCCCAGAAGTAGTGAAAAACCGCTGCAAGACTTGAAGTTTGTCATTCAAGGGAAGCTGGGGAAGAGCAAAGCTCAAGTGACCAGTGACATCTCCAAGAAGGGAGGCGTGGTAGTGACAAAGGTGGACAAAAAAGTGGCGGCTGTCATCAGCAACAAAGGTTTGTGAGGTTCACTGACTGATAATAGATTGTTAATATTTTTCGCCTTCACTGACACAATTTAGATCATGCAAAAAACTGGCTGCTCTGACCCCGTATATCAAAGCAAACCCAGGCTGATTTGGATACAGCATCTTCACACGAATTGTCCTCTCTTCTTCCAGGTTGAAATTGGTACCCGCCTATTGACAACAACAGATCAGTTTGCTAGTGTTTAAGCCCATGCAATCCGCAGCTTGCACTGTATGCTTCCTGGGAACCCAGAATGTTTCTGAGGGTGTTAAGTGTGCTGGGTTAATAATAATTGTAAAACACATATAGCATGCTGTAGAGTGTGGATGTACGCTACATAAAGGCAATTATTATAAGTTTAGACCTTTGTAAGTGGCAAATTGCCTTGACTCTGCCTATCAATGCCAACCCACACTGAGTGGGATACAACAGCCGAGACAAATGGAGATATAGGGATACGAACTCATTTCTTCTACAGGCATCTGGAAAAATGCTAATGTTTATCCTAGAGATGCTGCTGATCCATGTGTCTGTCAGTATCTGTTCTTTTTAAAAATTTTAAAATTAATTTAAAAAAAAACTGATCTTAGAAGTTGATGGGAACACCATGGTAATGATATTCATCATATTGTATAGACAAAAAAGAAAAACATCTTTGATTTTGATTTGTTACTGTTTTGTCTGCAGAAGTTTGGTTATGTACTTCTTATGAAGCGGAGAATGTTTCGAAGTGGAATTGGATCTGTTTAGGTGCTATTAAATTGTTAAGTGGGCATAGCCTATAAAAATGCAGTCTTAACATTATTATTACTATTGTTGTTATTGTCACTACTACTTTATTATTATTACTGCTACTATTATTATTACTCTTCCAGTCATCATCATCACCATCATCGTTATTGCCATTATAATTGTTATTATTAATATTATTTTCTTTGTCTGTGAAGATGAAGTCAAGAAAAAAGGTAAAGTGATCAAAGAGGCAGAGGAAAATGAGGTACATGTGATTAGTGAGGACTTCTTGGAGGCTTGCCAGAAGGGAAATGTGGCGAAACTGATTGCTGAGCACAGCATTGCTACCTGGGGCTCCAATGTAAGTCTTTCTGTTGCTTCAGCACTGTTTCTGTGTGTGGAGAGTAGATATACTTTTTTGATCCTCCCTTTGAAGAAATTTAGTATATGCTTTCATGATCTTCTGTGAGACAAAGTATAATACCGAGCATCTTATTAAGGGGAGAAGCGACCATTAGTTTTGGCCGATTTTGGGTTAAGCTATGCAAATTGAGATGTTGGCTGATTTTTAAGATCAACCAGTTCTTTGTCTAAGAATAGCAGGGAGACAATTGAGAAAGTCATTATTCTCCTCGTAAATTGCCTTTGAAAACATGAGGGTGGATTAAAATATAGTGAATTTTCACAATAATTGTAGTTTTTCTCAACATGTCTTTTTTGTTGTTGCAGTTTTTCCTTACTCCTTCCTTAGTGTTCATCCTTTTGACATGAAACTTTTAGGAAACATAGATGGCAAGGCCATGTAACAAAGAGATATTTGCTAAAAAAAAAACCAAAAACTTTTCCATTGGCAAGCGATTACGTAACCTAAATTTAGAAACGTTTTTTTACACTTTGGGAACATTCTCATATTTTATTTTATTGTGATTTTATGAAAAAAAACCTCGCTGTTATGCTGATAGGGTGTGGTTCAGGTATACTCTCACCATATTTGGTCAAATGTGGTCGGTAAATAAGAAAACCTTAGGTATTTGAAATTTATTGTTTATTTTCAAGGTGGCGGCCGTTTCCATAGCAACTGCTGTACCTATGCCAAAATAAAATTGCATATCAAGAGATTTTCCTGTGCCTAACTTATAATGTGTGCTAAAATTTGATCTCGGGCAACAAACATAGAAAATGGTCTTCAAGGGTCGCTCCTTCCTTTAACATTTCATAATCTCTCTCTCTCTCTCTCTCTCTCTCTCTCTCTCCTCTCTCTCTCTCTCTCTCTCTCTCTCTCTCTCTCTCTCTCTCTCTCTCTCTCTCTCCCTCCCTCCCTCCCTCCCTCCCTCCCTCCCTCCCTCCCTCCCTCCCTCCCTCCCTCCCTCCCTCCCTCTCTCTCTCTCTCTCTCTCTCTCTCTCTCTCTCTCTCTCTCTCTCTCTTTTTCTCTCCATCCCCTCCCTCCCTCTCTCTCCCTCCTTCTCTCTCGCTCTCCCTCCTTCTCTCTCGCTCTCCCTCCATCCCTCCCTCCCTCCCTCCCTCCCTCTCTCTCTCTCTCTGTCTCTCTCTCTCTCAGTTTTTTCGTTCACATTTTTCATTGTTATGTACTTTCTGTATGAGTGATTTGAAGAAAAATCAGTATTCTAAATTGATGAGTGAGCTTATGGTTTATCTGTGAATGAAAGTGCTTACAGTTTGCATTGTTGACATTGTTGCTATCAAGTGTAATTTTAGACTACCTATCTTTGTATTTTCTGCCAGTTGTCTTTGGAATAAATGGGTTTTATATTTTTTCATACTAGTGATCTTCTTTGCAGGTGGTCGTAGGGCATTGCTTGTTGACGCTATTTCTTTGCTTTCCTTGTTTTTTCTGTCCATCTGTCTTGAATATTTTTCGGCATTGAATTATCATTGTTGTGTTGATGTGCATCTTCTTGCTCAAAGTAAATGATCTCTCTTGTTTTGCAGGTTGAGAAGAGAATTGGCCAGAGACCAATGAAGAGTGCACCAAAGAGTGGCATGACTGCCAAGGAAGGTAAACCAGAATGATTTGCACATTTTTGTACAAATTTCTCGATGTTGTTAAGCAGTAAGACTTTAAGCTTAAAAATTTTTTTTGAAGATGTGGTTGGTTGGCAGGTGCTTTGGTGTGGTTTGCTCCTTCTTTCCTATCAAACATGTGTCGTCCTTATCTCTCCTTCTTTTTTGTGTTTGTTACTCACTTGTTACCCCTCTAATCTTCAGCACTTACCTGACGTCCTGATGGAAGTGAGATACTGGGCTGGTTTGCAAAGTCTTGACCAGTCCTCACTTGACCTTCCTAAAAAATTGTTGCTCTCTGATGACCTCTCTGTATTCCAGACCACATTGAGGACAGATACGGGGCACACACTAGTCTCACAAGTCTTGACCACTCCTCTTTTTACCCTCCTGTAGAACCCCTTCTGTGGGTGGTTTGCGGGTGCTCTGGAGGGGTTTGCTTCTTCTATTCTGTCAAATATCTGTCGTTCTTATCTCTCCTCCTTCTTTTTTGTGTTTGTTACTCTCTTGATAAACTACTCTCTTGATATACATCTAATCTTCAGTACCTATAAGACCTAAATGTGTTGCAAGTTCAGTAAAACCCATACCAAGACAAAGAATATGCTTTTTTTTAACTTTCCCCCAATGGAAGTGAGATACTGGGATGGTATGCAGTCTTGACCAGTCTTCACTTGGCCTTACTAATATGATTTTCACATCTTTATTTTAAAATTTTGTTATCGTTAAGCAGTGCATTGTAAGATTTTAAACTTTTTTTTGCGAAGAAGATCTGGGTTGTTGGCGGGGGCTCTGGTGCGGTTTGCTCCTTCTTTCCTATCGAACATCTGTCGTCCTTTTCGTATCAAACATGTCGTCCTTATCTCTCCTTTTTTTAAATGTGTGTTACTCTTTTGATATATCTAATCTTTGGCACTTATAAGTCCTAAATGTGTTGCAAGTGCAATCAAACTCTTACCAGAACAAAGAAAAGGTCTTTTTTTCTCAACTTTTTCCCTGATGGAAGTGAGATACTGGGCTGGTTTGCAAAGTCTTGACCAGTCCTCACTTGACCTTCCTAAAGAATTGTTGCTCTCTGATGACCTCTCTGTATTCCAGACCACATTGAGGACAGATACGGGGCACACACTAGTCTCACAAGTCTTGACCATTCCTCACTTTACTTTATCGTCCTGTAGAACCCTCGCTCTTTGATGATCTCTTGGGGAGGACTAGTTATCACTTTTTGCCCTGAATCTTTTATTGTGTGTGTTTCTCTGGTCATTGAGAAGTTTAAGGATGAGGTTTTTCCGTTATTTCCGTTTTTTCCTGTTGTTTTGGGCATCGTCCGTTAGGAACTTTGTTTTATTGTTGAACTGATATGATGTTTTGTTGCATTTATTGCTTCGTTGCATGCTAAATCTAGTCGTGAAAAATTTTCAGTAATTTTTTCGAAAGTCCAGTGGCATCCCTGAAGCTCAGAAAGCAGAATTTTGCAGGAGCGGGGAAAAAACTTGTTTCTTTCTTTTAACAATTGTACCCACTGTATGTATTTTTTCTGTCCTTTTCAACATGTAGAATGTGTATTTGGACAAAATATATCATGAGCACTTGCAACTGATATCACAGATTAAGAAACAAATTTAGGAAATTTTGAGCACTGTTCATCTGAACAGTTGGCCAACGATTTGTATGTTGATGTTTCATTTAAGACCAGGTTTTTGAAAAGAAAAGCCACTCATAGAGAAAAGAATATTGAAGCTGTTTTAGGTCATTTTTAGTATATGGATCTGCAGTGTTAGGATTTTTCAGATGTGAATTTGGTTTTAAAGTCCAGAATAAATATGCTTGATATGATTGTGAGCCTGAACTCTTTATTCACATTCACTCAACCACTTGAGTGATGAAAATTGTGTATTATGTAATAAAATGATGTCAGGGTAACCCATTTCGTGCTCAATTTCTGCCTTGACAGAGGAAAGATACACCAAGAGTGTACCGGCCAAGGTGAAAATGATGGTGAAGGGTGGCGCTGCCGTGGACCCTGACTCTGGTACGTCAATGCTTGTTCTTTCCTTGAATATCTGTTTATCATATAGACCTTGTAGTAAGGGCGGGTGGTTGGAGAATGCTGCTGATCAGTCCTACTTTTTTTCTTTCCCACTTTTGTTTTGGTCTATTTCTATCTTTTTTCCTTCATTAAAGGGCTGTTATTGTGTCCATCTGCTTTTCTTTACTCAAACTGTAGCACTCACCATAATCTTTGCCAGTGGAAAACAGATGTCTGTTGCCGTTATGGCCTCAAACTTGCAAATTGAAGGCATTTTTAATTTGGCATGACTGCAAAATTTGAGGAGTTTCAGGTCTTTGGTAGGGGGAAGGATGTAATTTTGACCAAATGTCAATGGACAGTGAATTCGGAGGTCCTGTTCTTAAATGGCCTTATAGTGTTAAAATCACTGGTAAACCCGTACAGTGATCAATTCTATTGTTTGTTCCAGAACTGGCAGAAAAAGCTCATGTGGTGCAGGAGGGCAATGAGCCACTGACTGCTGTGTTGGGGCTGGTGGACATTGCCAGGGGAACCAACTCCTTTTACAAACTTCAGGCTCTGGAGGGGGACAACAAGATGAGGTCAGTGAGGAATGCAAGGAGACTTTCGTGACACTTAATGATATCTTTGACTGTGCTTGACAATGTTAAAGGTCGTGGTATGAGAGAGTCAGTTGAAAACACTAGCACCTGTGGAGTAATGGTTAGGCTCTTTTTCGTTGCTGATAGAAGATGTGAGTTAAATTCCTGAGCAGAGAAATTATTTTATTGAATGTCATTGTCTTCGGGGATGTTGTGTCCCACTCAACCCGGGTTGGCCCTGAAAGGCTGGGTCAAAGCAGCCTGCTTCCCAATTATTCTAAATTGTGTCAGTGGGAGTGTGAAACATTAACAACCGTTGGGGGGGGGGTTCTCTCATGAACCAGCAGATGTTATTGTTGGAGTGTCTGTGAACCCCCCCGGGGCAATGCCACTGACTGTAGTGTCTTTAGGCCATTCCCAAAGGGGGGACATTTCTCATTCAAGCATAGTAGAATTGTAAATGGGCTGACTCATGTTACTCTCATAACTGTGCCTGATCTACAACAAGGAACTGCTGCTTTTTCTTTCCTGATCCTTACTATTGTCATTTTCCTCTACTTCTTTTGAATGTTTGTCACTCTCTTGTGACCTGCTATTTCCAGGGTGCCTTGACAGTCGAAGCAGACCTTGTGCTGTTGAAGCTAGAGAGGTGAGCAGTCTAAGTCTGATTCCCTGTAAAGACTTCTGTGTTGACACCCACCCCTTGGCGCTCATATGACCTTATGCAGTTGCGAGTGCCGTAAAACCCTCTGCTATAAAAAAAAGGAGTGTCTGTCATGACAAGCTCCTCCTTCTTTTAGATATTTTTAGATGAGAGTGGTTGGTACAAAATCTGTGGCTGAAAGAGGAAGAATGCAAGTTTTATTAACGCTTCTAGTTTTTCATTATTCACATTATACAGGAAGTTGAGTAAAATATACCACACGAGACATGAACAATAATAAGGTTCAGGGATATTTTGATTCTCTGAATAGTTCGAGCACTGACCCAAAGCCCAGCTAAAAGGGTTGGATGCAGATCGAAGAAGTGAAGTGCTGGAACTGGCCAAGTGGTCTGTCCCAACTTTTCACTGGTATGTGTGCTACAGTAGTCAGGCTCTTTGCGGAAGCATGCAGAAGATGTGAGTTGATTTCAGTGTGAGGAAGCTTATTTTATTGAGTGTCTTGGTCCTTCTTCTGAGAAGCTGTACCCCACCTGACTCAGGGTTAGTCCTGAGAGGCAGAGTAAAGCAGCTGGCTGTTGAACCCTGACTCTTTGGGTTTTTTTGTTTGTTGTTTGAAGTTAGTTTTTTACGGCACTTTCAACACAATAAGATCATATAAGTGCCGAATCCCTGACTATGGTACATTGATACATGTATTTATATATAAATTGTATACATGAGAATATAAAAGATTTGCTTTCAATACTTAACTTCTGTTTCAGCTGGTGGTTGTTCAGGGCCTGGGGCCGAGTGGGCACCACAATTGGTGGGAACAAAGTGGAACGTTGTGGTTCTTTGGCCTCCGTCATTCGCAATTTCAAAGAGATGTACGGAGAGAAGACAGGGAATGACTGGGCGGATAGGAAGAATTTCCAGAAGATTCCGAACAAGTTTTATCCCTTGGAGATTGACTATGGCCAGGTAATGATTTTCTCGTATTCATCCTTGCCAAATAAGAAGGGGAAATTTCTATTACGGTTTATCAGGTTGCTTCAGAATGTTCAAAGTGTTACATTTTTTTCAGCTATGAATTAAACTGTTTTTTCTTTAATGTTGCCAATGTAAGTTATTTTGGTCAATGGATTTTATGATAATGCCAGAAGTTAAGATGGTTAGGTCTTTCACCATATATATTTATGTATATCTTTTGTTAACTTTATCATAGATATGTGGTGTGAAAATTATAAAAGAAGCAGATAATTTTAAAATATTTAATAAACCTGTAAGTGTAAATTTTGTGTAATATTATTTCATTGATCAGTTATTTATAGATTCAATTATTTTAGGCTGACATAAATTTTACTTAATGCATACATTTTCATACTTCAATGAATTTGACACAAAATAGTGTTGTAAGTTAAATCTTTACAATTGCAGCAGGACTTTTTACTGTTAGCTGATAAACTTAATTTTTGCCTGCGTCAATGTATTTTACCTTTTTTTAAAAAATCTTTTAAAATAGGCACTGTTCATATTCGCATTTCTTTCTTCTATGCTCAAAATTTATTTGTTATTTAACCCTTTTATTGTTGTTGTTTTGAATGTGTATAGGATGAAGAAGACATCAAGAAGCTGGATCTGGCATCCTCAAAATCATCTCTGCCGAAGAATGTGCAGGATCTCATCTGCATGATCTTTGACGTGGAAAGCATGAAAAAAGCCATGTTGGAGTTTGAGGTGAGTTCTTCGTATTTGGTATATATGAGCCAACGGTTATTTGGCTGGTCCATGTCTATGGAGTGATAGTTACGCTCTTTGCCGTTGCACATAGAAAACACGAGTTTGATTCTCATGTATAGAAATTATTTTTTCGAGAACGTTCTTAATGTACATAAACAATAAATTGTAGAAGACTTAATAGAGTACTAAGCTAATAAAGAACTCCTTATGTAGACAACAGTGAATAGAGAAGTAATGTGTGTAAACAACACATAATGGAGAACTCTATTGTATGTAATAACTGCTATAAAAGAACTCTGATTGATGTATGTAAACAACAGGTCATGGAGCACTTTACTATGCGAAAAAGCTTACTAGCCTATCATTCTGTCTTCTGTCTGCTGATTTATTCCTCTTATTTTTGCTATAGAAAAGGTAATTTTCTTAAGAGTGAGGGTGGTTGGATGGAGCACTATTCTTACTGTATTGATAAGGGCATTTAACTTGTGCAAATACTAATTACACAGCCACACAGAATCCTATCGTGTTAGACTTCCCAGGATAAAATGATGCTGTGGTTTAACACAGCCTCAGAAAAATGTTTGTGTTTTGCTTTTCAGATTGACATGAAGAAGATGCCCCTTGGGAAGCTCTCTAAGAGACAGATTCAGTCAGCTTATTCGGTCTTGACAGAGCTGCAAAGGGTAAGCTAGTTTACGATACTGAGCTAGTCGCTTTGTCTACCTTGCTGCAAAATTAATTTTAATTGAACTGGCATGTGTGATAGTAATTAAGTAAGTTTTTAAAGTGTTTAATGCCATTGGCCCGCACCACATCACATAAAACACTCATTTGTGAAATAGTTTCCGTAATTAAAAGGTACAGATTGTGCACAAATATTTTATCATGGATCAAACATTGCATGTGTGACAGTAAGAAGTGATTGTAAGCGAAAACGGTGTGATACCAGTAGTTTTGTGAAATAATAGTTTGATAGTCTATTTGGGAGATTTTGTTGAGAAGTTACCACCTCCACCTCAGTTCATTATAGAACTGAAAACTGTCATGCCTTTGAAATGTTTTTGCCCCACCCTGAGAGCAATTGTCCAGGGGGTCAATGTCAGAGCTGCGTAATTTGTTCTTATATTGGCATATTATATCTGTGGAATGGAGCCTAGCGTATACATCTTTGCCAGATGTGGGTGCACCCTCAACTGAATTTGTATGACAGTTCGCTCGTAGAAAAACACATACAGCCATTTGAAATGATACATTTTTACTTGTCTTATAACGATAAAGGCTGAAGATCTCACTAGCGATGTAAATGTAGCAATGCCAATCGCCCGCTGCGCCTTGGGCCGGAAATCGACCTCCGCGCGAGGGGTAATTTTTGGGCTGCTCGGAATCAGAAGTGACTCTCTTCTAAGTATAGTTACGGGAAAACTCCTGGACGAAAATAAATGAAACTCGGCAACCAACCAGAGGAAAGGTTAAACTAATGACATGCCAGCGTACAATCCCGAACGATTACTAGAACTGGAGATATTGGGGTGTTTGTGCGAATTTCCTCTGCGGTTCGAAAACTAAGCGGAGCTGCGGGTTGATCGCCGACCACACAAGCGCCCCACATGTCTTCTTTATTGCTGTAAAATTTCAGATCTCTGCATTTAGTAGATTTTCCGTACCAACTTAAAATACCCACCCATCCATTGATAAAACACTAGATCTGGAAACTAGATCACGCATTCCAAACGCGAGGTGCCGGCATGCAAGAGACGCGTGATCGCTAGGCGGCATGTGATTGGCTGCCTATAACCAAATAGGTCACCGATGACTACATCGCGGGTTTTCCCGATAGCGCTTTACAGAGTTTTAGAAGGGGTTATCGCGTCGCGGTAAAAACTATGTCACGCAATTCAAGAAATTTCACGCAAATATCAGTCTTTAAGATCCAAAGTAATAAAGACACCGAAAAAGTGATAGCAGAACTAGATTCTGCACAAAAAATCACATGGAGATTCCAAGTTTCATTCATATGCTCCAATTCATTACTGACTTATGAACAGTTTTTCCTCAAAATACATCAAAACATGTCCCACATTTTGGCGATTTTTTCCTATATGAAGGTCCTCCAACATTTTGCAAACAAAAATCCCAATAACTTTTTTATTTATCAATGGATTTTTAAAATTTAAAAACCATAGTTTTTAGAATTTACTGTATTTTCATTTAAGCCCATTTTTAAGCAAGTTGGATGAAAATTTAATTTTTCATTGTCATTGCTAGTAAATAGGGGGGGGGGGGGGGAAAGGGAAATTTTAGATATAGGAGAAGTCTTATTTTGTAACAAACCCATTCATATGTAGATATATGCTGCTTGTTATAATTTCTTTTGCATACTCCATTTTGAAATTTTTATAAGATTGATGAGTTTTGTTCATGGTCTTACTCAGTGTGTTTGTATGTTCAGTTCATTGAAAATGAAGGGACACAGACGCAGTTTGTCGACGCTACCAACAGATTCTACACTGCAATCCCTCACGACTTTGGTATGAAGAAACCGCCTTTGCTGGACACAGCAGAAGTCATAAAGGTAGGGAAAAGTCAAAGATCCACTTTTTCAAACTTAGAATTATGAATTTATTTTGTGCTAGAACTACGAGATAGGAATGGAGCTTGTATTTGAAACTTTGGTTATGAGTGGGATTGTTCTGGCCTCTGGCTCATAATTATTTTACGTAAAGGGTCTTGAGAAATAAAATGTGTACCACACAAAATTGTGCTGACAAAATTATGTGTGCTGAAAAGATTTAGGAATTATATTTCATGTGGAATCCTTGAAATAAGCTTGGTTAGACGACCTTTAAGAAACGCTATATTAACTTTTGCAACAATACTTGTTCATATGTTAATTTTTTTGTATAAATGTTACATTTTAATAGTGTGATCATAATGAGCATAAAAATTTTGATTTGCAATGGGGGTTTTTGGGGTTTTTAAAAAAAATACAAAAATGTTCTTTTTATTCTTTTTCTAACAGCAAAAGACTGACATGCTTGACAACTTGCTTGAAATTGAAGTGGCCTACTCGCTGTTGAAAGGAGGGGACGAAGGGGAAGATCCGATCACTTCCCACTACAAGAAACTCAAATGCAAGATGGAGGTAGGAGGCATTGTTGTCTCAGAAAGACTCTTTGCTTTTTGTGAATATTTTCCTTCTTCTTTCTGTTTAGTTTTTCCTATATTTGTGAGTTCAAAAGTTGATAACATCTTCATCTGTCTTCCGGAATATAGTATTCCCTTTTAGTCTAGTTAAATTTACTTCAATTAGTTTGATGTCCATTTCAATATTCATCGAATAACCAATTAACTGATTCCGTCCATTCGGCCGCTGACAGCGGCTCTGAGTTTCTCTGCTGCATCCATTCGACTGCTGTGAGCGGCTCAACGAAATCCGAAACAAATGTGCACTTTTTAACTTAGTTCCTACTTTTTAAGTTGTCGAAAGGAAGTAGAACTTGTAAACAAACCTGACCTCTATCTCTCAGCACCATTATCGATTGAAACTCCGCGAAATTCTTGCAAAAATCGTTGTTTTGTTGTCGCGATGTAGGCTAGATCCAAGGGTAAATAACACGGAGCCTGGTATAACAAAAAGGCCCTTCAAAGAAAGATATTCAACTTAATATGTGAAATTCTTGCATAAATGTGTGCTATGGTGTTATCGCTACAATGTTGTGTTGATTCCTATGGATTATAAGGACTTGTAGAGCTGTGAAAATGCGATAAGTCGAAATTTTCGAAGAGGTGTTATGCAATTTTTTTTCCTCATTCGTTTTTGTCAGACGGAAAATACAATACAAACAGATTATAGGCAATTGTTATTGATAAAAACAGATTCCCCTATTGATTCCCATCACTTTGGTATATTACAATACCTATTAGAGTGACTTAAAGCGTTACAGTAATGCATTAAATAGATGCACCCCAGGTCTAAAACTGAACAAGGAAAAATAATTCTGTCCAGAGCCTGAAAAAATCATAGAGGGAATCAGTTAACAACCCCCCCCCCCCCCCCCCAAAAAAAAAAAAAAAAAAAAACCCTGTTCCGCGTGCGGTTCTTTCTTTAACAAAAGTATTCTTGTCATCTGCATTCGTAGCAGGTGGTCTCCATTGTCAGTCATCTCTATCCAGGAACACCAAGGGCCCACTGTTTTTATATTGTTAAATGAAAGCTTGCCCAGAGAGCGCGGTAGCTTCTACTTCTTTACTTTTCCAGCAGTTTCTTCTTTTTTATCTATCTTATCTTTCTTTTTTCCCCAGCTCTAAAATATATAATTATTGTTGTGTTGGTGTGGTTTTCTGTACTCAAACTAAACTAAACCCAAATCTTGTTGATTTCCTTAAGCACCATCACAGATTCATTGTTTACGACACAGCTCAGATCAACATGAAGTACCTTTTCAAGATGAAATTCAACTACAGGTGGTAGGAGCTGCCTCACAGGGTTAGGGGAAGTCTGCACTTGAACGATGAGAGGAGACCTGCACTGAGGAAAGAGCCAAGGAAAACATACATAATGCTTGGATTATGACTGTGAATACTAATGTTGTATCGATACAACTGAAATTAACCGGTGTCTGCGGTGTAGTGGTTAGGCACTTCTAGAAAATCCAAATTTGATTCCTGCTTAAAGAACTTTTTTTATAGGGTATCTTGGTCTTTCTGCTGAGACATTGCATCCTTCTCTGCCCAGGTTGGCCCAGACAGGCAGGGTCGAAGCCCACCTCCTAAATGATTTGAATTGTGTTTGGGGGGGGGGGGGGTAAAAACATCAACAATTGAGATCATTTAGGTTGCTTCGACTCTTCCGGTCAAAGTCAGGGCAGACCAGGGCTGAAAAGGATAGTAAGTTAGACTGATCTTGGGAATATGTTTTTGATTTTAGTTTTATATTCGTGTATCACCCAACACTAGGACCTAACAGTTGTATAGTTTTATCTGTGTCTTGAATGTTTGCACTTGGATGCATAGGTTATTGCACTTCCAGTGGCTTCTGTTTTAGATCAAGATAGGACTTTGAATGATTACTCTGTTCAATTAAAGAAATAACATAAGTAAGTTGGAATGAATCTTTGACAGGTTGTGTTCTTATTGTCCTGTCTATTTGAATTTGATTATGATTTTTCTTGAATCTTTAAAGCATGGATAGCTTTTCTGATATTATATTGACTGCTGTCTGGTTACAGAATTTTTAATGTTTGACGTTTTGCCATGGTCCTCCTTAACACATACACCCTGATTCGCCTGTTGTAAAGAATGTAAATTATATTGAGGGGAGGCCTGAAAATTTACATAATAATTCTTTACCAAAACCCAGTATAGTTGCCGTGATGCTGGTGTAAAATGTTGTAGCATTAGGCGTGTTTATGTGTATGAAGAGGATGAAGTAATTTGTAAAATTTACATACTTGCTTTCATCATTAGTGAGGTTCTTCTCTGAAGCACATCGTAGGTGTGAGCTTTATTTTCATGAAGGGAAGTAATTTTACAGAGTGTTGATGGGATATTGTACCTCTACCCTCAACCTAGGTTGACCTTGGCAGGCAAAGTTGAAACAGCCTTAATAAATCTTTTTAGTTGGTTTTTAAAAATGTTTACAAGCAATTACAGTCTATCAGTCGTTTTCATAGGTTGTGGAGCACAGGATGTCTACACACTTTCTTCAACCTTTAATGTTGTTGGCCAGTTTCTCTGGCTGTCCTCAGTTAATGTCTCTTTCTCTTTGTGCATCTTTTTTTCCTTTTCCCCTTGGAGCTCATCCGCAAGGATTGCCATTTGTTACTGGGGGGGGGGGTGATGTGCATGCCTTGTTTTTATTCCAAATTGAGAAATTTCATTTCTGTTTCTAAAAATGCATGTTTACAGTCTTTCTTCTGTATATTCCATGTTGATAAAGAGTAGCACTTGATGAACATTATATGCTTATTGTTTTTCTTTAAATAGATATCATAATGACTTACACCTGTGTACTCATTTGTTCATCTTTTGCTTGTCATTGTCTTTTTTCAAACACATGTATGTTGTCATGGTGAGTGGTGTTAGGCTCCTGGCTGTTAAGTTCCCACAAGGGGAAATTTTATATTGCAGTATAACACGGATAGCTCGAATTCGTTGGGACCGCCCTCGGTAGTTGGAGGGATCCGTAGTTTAAGGGATATGTTTTAAAGATAAATAAGTAAAAAGTATGGGACCACAAGCACAGTTCGGTGGATGCTTGATTTAGGGTCTCCTGTGTTCGACCTATGTGTTATACTGTATTTTCGTCTACCTGACCATTATTGTGACAGTGTGCTTCTTTTTTTTTTTTCAAACAAACCAACCAACAAGGTCTCTGTCTTGCTGCTTGAGTGCTGTATCCCACTCAACCCAGTTTACTGACCGGTAGTGGTAGAGTTGAAGCATCCTGCTCCCAAACTGATCTAGATTGTTCCTTTGGGGTATAAGATGTTAGCATTCAAGTGTAATATAATACAGTTATATCATATACTGGTGATATAATGCCACTGATTGCATTTTAATGGGCTGCTGTTGGTCGACTGTTGCTGCACAGTAATTCAGTAAAGACATGCTTCACTTTAGTCATAGCCAGTCATTGAGTAGAATGGCAGTGGTTGGCGCCGTATGTCCTATGAATGATAATTGTGTAGGAATAAAGCCCCTTTCAACACTATGAGGTTATTTACGAGGTGAGACGTCTGAACTTTACGTCCGTCTCTGATAAAATTGAATCCAGTTCGCTGAGACTGAGAGCCTTGAAAACTTTCCAAAATATCCATGTTTAAGTTTAAGAATGCTTTATTGAGGATTCAAATCAGGACCATCCGCACCTCGGCTCAATGTGATATTCACTGAGCCAGTGGCACTCTGCAAACCCCTGGAGTGGAAGATAGTTAAAGCATTAAGACTAAGACCATGAAACAGTCTTCAAAATTTAAGAACATGAAGTCCACCTGTGAAAAGCGAGTTGACATTCTTGTTCCATGACAGGGAAGATGGATTTCCTGGACGTTATACTATTATTACTTACATTATAGTTATACTATACAGTCAGGAAGTATACAATCTTCTAATTCTCTAAAGATCTAAAGAATTATCCATGCCTGGAGCAAGTCCAATCATCTGCTCAAGCTGTCTACAGGGTTTTGAACGCAGTTATTTCTGGGGTGCCTTGATAGTTGAAGCAGACCTTGTACTGTTGAAGCTAGAGAGGTGGGCAGAGTGGGTCTGATTCCCTGTAAAGACTTCTCTGTTGACATCCACACCTTGGCGCTCATATGACCTTATGCAGTTGCGAGTGCCGTAAAACCCTCTACTATAATAAAAAAAATAGTACTGTATGCCTCCGATGATCATGGAAGCTATCAACATGATCAAACCTTTGAACCTGTGTTCCAAGAGCATGTCACACAAAGTTGGCAAGATGGGATAATAATACTAACATTATACATCTGTAGTTACTTTAAAAAAATTAAAATTGAAAAAGATATGTTTTAGATAGAAAAACAAAAGAGCATGGTGCAGAAAAAGAGGTTTTGAAATTACAAAAACTTTTAATGTAATGTACACTATGAGAATGAGAGACTAAAGGATCAATCCAAAGAAATCTCTCTGAGATACCAGAACAAAGATAGATGTAGGGCCTGTGTAGCCTACCTCTTCTTAGAGATACCTACGGTCAGCACGAAATATATCTTTCAAAGAGAGATGTAAAGATCAGCACAAAGATTGAGATAGTTTTCAGAGAGATTTGATTTATCAATCAGCACAAAGTTATCTCTCAGAGAGACCTAAGGATCAACACATAGAAATTTCTCAGACTTCAGAGAGACCTGAGAATCAGCACAAAGGTATCTATTGGAGAAAGTAAAGTAAACACACAAAAAATATATCAGAGAGACCTAAGGCTCAGCACAAAGATACCTCTCAAGAGTGGTATCCATCCAGATCCTTGGAGATAGAAGACCAGAATGCCTCACTGTCTGTGGAGAGATATTGAGCGCAAGAGGTGGATATGGTAATGATTACAAATATATATTTTTTAATACCCCGTTGACTTACATGAAATATAATTTATATCATTTAGGAACTAGGCTTCTTTGACCCTGCATGTGTCATGGGCCGACCAGGGCTGAGTTGGATAGTCTTAAATAATTATATAACAACATCCCAGCAGATAGTAATGCATGATGATACCTCGATGAAATACTTTCCAAAGCTAGAATGGAATTAATGTCTTATTTCTGCAATGAGGATGAGCCTTCAGTATAAGACTAAGAGTAAGGGTTAGTGCATGTTTACTAGTTTGAAAAAACGACTTGTTTTGCTGCATTCCCAGGTAAATTGACAAGGGAGAAGGCCCACATGGCATATTGTATGACCGACTCTTAGTCTTAGGTCAGATTACCCCTATGCTCATTTTCAGAAGACTGCAAAAATACATACGACTTAATAAAGTACTTATAAAATAATAAAAGAAGCTCCAGCTGTCTATGTTTAAGTGCTGTTTTAGCTTTACCTTAAGAGTGACTGCTGCTTTTGAACTAGATCTAGTCTTTCCAGCAGCACTCGCCCGTCTATTCAAGTTCAAGAGATTGCCCCTTATTCCATCAATGCCTCCACCACATGCATTTTTTTCATTTATGATTTTCCCTGACCAGCTGGGAAGTTGTCTTTCATCTCCATAAATATTTAGCTTTTACTTTCACTCATTCCAGTTTGCTTTTTTAAAATCATCTCAACAAATCATGTATAGCGTCATTATAATATAGATAGATAGATAGATAGATAGATAGATAGATAGATAGATAGATAGATAGATAGATGGATGGATGGATGGATGGATAGATAGATAGAAGGAGAGAGAGAGAGAGGGGGGCAGGCATACAGTATACAGAGAAGTAACAATGAGACGGACGCAGACACAGAGAGAATAGAGATAGAGACATGCAAACAGACAGAGATATGGACAGGTGAATATATAGATAGATAGATAAATAGATAGATAGATAGATAGATAGATAGATAGATAGATGACCCAACAGATCGTATATATTGCAATTAATTAGTTCTTTTTATAAGGCGAAGAATGTGCTGGGCGAGCTTCCTGAGCTGAAGCGAAACAACTAACTTCCGGTTTCGTTGATGAACTGATTACGTCTTTATTTTTGTGTGTTTTCAACTAACGTTGAGTCAGAGTTGAGTGATGTTTGTTCAGCATTTGTTGCTTTCAACTTGCCATGGTCTTGCAACCATGGCAATGCTCTTCTAGCAATCCTCTTGATTTGGCTGTTTGATTGTCTTCTCTAGTGAAAGTCAAGGCTTTGCAACAACACTGCCACTGCTACTGAACTGATGAGACTTCATCAAAGAGTACTTCTTCTGAGTCAGTGACAGTGTTAGTGAGGGTGGCTAATAATAGCAGTAGATCTACTGTATTAATGAACTAGCGTTTTTGTAGTCTGCTGGGAGTAATTGTGGGCAACGGATCCACAAAAGTACGGTGGTACTCAGTTTTTGTTTGTTGTTGTGACCATTGTGAAACTCTCAGTATGTCGTGCCAGCTGTCTGCGATTTCAAAATTCCATGACATTTCTACAGTGAGAAATTTTTTCTTCCCTTCACCTTCCAAGGAAAGTACCCCAAACAGAGATGAGGGTGGTGAAGATTCAGTTTCAACATCTATGAACGAAGGTGTGTATTATGATGTTTACAACATGGAATTTGAAACTGCGGCTGGATCCAAGCAGATCGGGTCAGCGGGGCCTGTCAGTGCCAAGCATAGGCATAGGGTTCAGTTTGGGAATGGCATTGTTGAGCCATCCAATGGTAAGGTAATAGGGGGTGCCCACTAGCGAATGCGGATAGGGTCGGGTCATCGGGTCGGGTCGCTTTCTGGCAGTTTCAGTGCTCATTACAACACCACCCTTTAACCTACATATGCGACTACACAGAGGGCGTAAACCGGGCTACGATTGGCTGAACCTTTGACCTATGAATACATAAAATTTAGTAGATCTAGGCCTACGGTACTCTTGGACTTCCTGCACTCCCTCTCTCTGTCTCCCTCTGTGTGTGTGTGTGTGTGTGTGGGTGAGTGCTTGCTTGCTTTCTTGCTTTAAAGTGTCTCTGTCCTTTCTTGTTTATTTCTCACTTCCCATAATAATATTCAGAGACCTAGATCTAGCCGCTACTAGTACTAGGTCTCTGCATATATCTCTCAACTTATCTCTCTCACTCCCTGTCACTCTCATTACCCTCCTTCTGTAATGCTCCTCCTCCTTCTTCTATATTCGTCTTCTTCTTCCTCTAGGCCTATGAGTGCTCCAAACCTGCTGTGAGAAGTGAGAAGATGGTCAAAGGCGTGAGACCGAAACCGGGAATTCCTAGAGTACCGTAAGCCTGGCATACACTCATGGGTCAAAATGGACATGTGACTGAGCCTTGTTGTGATTGGCTGCAAACCACCCGATCGCGCGTTTCGCAGGCCTGAAAACAAAAAAATTTACATGTTTGTTTTTGTAGGTCACCAACCGAGTCGATCGGTTTGTGCCACGATGGTTTCTTTGCGCCCTCAATTTGGCTAGCACCGACCCGACTCGATCGCATATGTGGGCACCCCCTATAAGATTGAACTTAGGTGGACCCAACACTGAATGAAGCCAGGACTACTTTTGAGCCTCGCTGTGCAATGCTATACAATGGTCCGCTCTTATATTATTGTTTTGTATTTATGTATATGTATGTTTTTAAAAATTATTGTTTTTGCCAGGGGGGCAAGCCCCCTCTGAAATCCCCCCACTAACCGGGGGGCAAGCCCCCCTGAAACCCCCCCCACTGTTGTTATAAATGGCTAGTGCGCATTAATACATGTAACGCGCTCATATGACCTTAGCAGTTGCGAGCGCCGTAAAACCCTATACTACATACAAACATGGTGGGTCCACCAAAGTTAAATCGGACCAACCGTAAGTTTAAGATTTACATGTGGAGTTAAATCTGTGCTGTGCTCGACTGTACAGAGCTTAAATTAAGAAATACTAACATTGCAAGTTCCAAATCATGGAGCATACACATACACAATTAAGTAATTAAGGGTCATCATTATGTACCACTTTGGTATAAATGTTACTGTTAGATGCGTTCTGTCGATTTGCGTGATCGGTGGATTGCGCAACGCTTTTTGTGGATCCATAGAATCCGCGCAAATTGACAGAACGCGTCAAACATAAATAAATACTAATTATTATAATTAAGTCCAGCTGTGGTGTGGGTGGCCCTTGTTTGCATCCTCAAAAATACCATTTTTTAAAAACTTGCATTTTTTGTTTTTCAAGGCTTTGATTGTCTCTTCCTGTTTGAGATAGACATTAAATTTATAACTTGTGCCTTTAAATGAATCACATTATAATATTGATGGGGGTGGAAATTCCTTACAATACGTTTCACAAAATTAAAAAAAACTGTTAGGAAACAGATTATAATTGATTTTTTGGGGGGTATTTGCAGCTTGGTGAAGTTGCATTTTTTAAAATACTGATTAAAATTAGACATTAGATGATGAAACTAAGAAAACACTTCTGCTTAGCACTTAAGTAGTCTTCAGAAAGCCCAATTTGACCCCAAGTACATCTATTTTGACCTTTGGTTTTAAACTTTTAACTGTATCTCTTGTAACTTCGTGAGAACTATGGTGACATTTTGTGTTGATCTAAATCAGATCATGTTTTTTTGTTTCAGACTGGAATGCAGCTTGGGGTTTTGATGATGAAAAAGTTATGGTCCAAGAGGCTGAGGTTGGAGATGGCAGTTGTGAACATGATCACAACAAATGGCTCCAGAGCTGCCTTGTTTCCTTGTCCCCGACCAATGACGTTTTGGCTATTGCTCACGGCAGTAAAATTTGCATTATGACGCGTGAGTAGTGTGGTTAAGATGAAAAATTCTTCATTAGTTGAAAATGTCTACAAATGTGCTTTGGATAAAGGGAAATTTTTAAAATTTTGATTTCAAAGACAGGAAATGAAAGCATTTATGGGCCCTTGTGTCCTAAATCCTTTTTCACAGTGTCTGTGGTGTAGCCATTAGGCATTTGCAGAAGACGTGAGTTGGATTCCTATGTGGTGAACATTTTTACTATCTGTGTCTTTCTGCAGGGTTGTTGTATCTCTCTCAGCCCGGTTTTTGAAACAGTTCACCTTTTAAATAATCTAAATGTGCTGATGGAGAAGTAAGATCTGATCTACAATTCCTGCTTACAATGACAAAGGGCCTCATCATTTCACAACTGACACTTGTTTTTTTTTTAAATTCTATAAATGAAAATGACATAATCTGGAAAATAAAATAATAATAATAATAATGAAGATCATTTCTATAGCGCCCACTCCCGTGTGAACACAGCTCTAGGCGATTTACATAAATGCATGTACGAACAATATTCACGCACACACACACACATGCACACACACACACACACACATTGCACACACACATGTGCACACACATGCATGCCAAACACACACACACACACACACACACACACACACACACACACACACACACACACACACTCACATACACACACACACACAATCTACTTGCTTATCACACGCGCACACTTACACATCGTTACGAAATGAGCACATACAAAAAAAACAAATACATAATAAATTAATATACACAGTGCAATTATTGTAAAATACATAAATGGATACATAGTCATTTACTGTACTGAATATACTGACATAATCTCTTCAATTTGACCACAGTGAAAGTCTAACTATTTGCCATATGCCTTTTATTTATTGTCATTTACAAAACATTTTGCTTTTCATATTTTCAACAGAAAAATGGGATGCAAAAAATAAAGGGGAGGAAATTGACACTCGCTTGATGCCAGTCTGGGAAACGAACCTTGGACTGGATGAAAAGTATGTCTGTGCAGCCTGTTCAAACTAAGTGGTATTGTGCATAAGTTAGTAATTTTGCTGTCTGTTGAACTAAAACTGTTTTTGTGGTGACTGAGTTTTCATCAGAGTTGTCATTGTCTAAAACAGTACACGGGAGCATCACCAGCATTTCTACCAGCATTTGTGGCGTCGGTGGCCTAGTGGTTAGGCTCTCGGACTCGCAATCGTAAGGTCGTGGGTTCAAATCCCGTCAAGGGCCCGACGTTGTGTCCTTGGGAAAGACACTTTACACGAATTTTCCTCACTTCACCCAGGTGGGAATGGGTACCCGGCTATAGACAGCGAAAGATCTTGTCTGTTTGTTAGTGTTTGAGCGCTTGATCGGCTGCTTGCACTGTATGCTTCCCGGGAAGCTGAGAATGTTTCGGAGTGTTCTATGGTCTGCTGGGGTAATAATATAGTGTAAAGTGCATAGAGCCTGCTGCTGAGCGGGGATATGCGCTATACAAATGCTATCTATTATTTATTATTACCCATATTGTGTTTGTTGAGTCGAAATTTCCTGAAGTTTGGCCACCAGTGAATGCAAACATTGGTCTTCTGCTTGTTTTCTGGTTTTCAATGATCACAGTTTGAATTACATTGGTGGTTTCTGCATGAAGAGATGTTTTGAAAATGGAGATTCTGTGTTTAAGAGGGTTGCGCTTGAGAAATGCAGGAATAGCAGAAGTTAATTAATTTCATAATCAATATCTAGTGAACTACAATATAGAGTTACATTATAGTTATATAGATGGGTTACTGATTGATCTACCAATATCCACCTCTCCCTTGGAAAAGGAATGGCCCTTTATGCAAGAATTGGGATTTTTATAACAGTTTGATTCTTTTAGTGGAGTTTCAGTGCCTTAGGCTATATATTGTGTTTAAGACTCCTTTTTGTTTTTGATTTTATGGTTATAAAAATTAGTTTTGACTCTTATGTTGTTTTGAACCTGGTAGACTTTTTGATTAAGAGATCATCCTGTTTACTCTTTGTCTTCTCTGTGTACCCCATTTTTCAACTTGACAGTTTCCAGGCTCCTTACCTGTGCATGATTTTTAGGCTAAGTTTAGTTAGGGTAGAGAACTTTCAATGAGGTAAGAACTTGCGTGAGAATGAAGGGATGGTGAAGACAGAAGTCAGACAAAGTTTGTCAAAGACATTTTGAAGAGTGACATGTTTTGCAGTTGATAAGTGTTGAGAATGAAGCAAGAAATTTAAGGCCTATGGTTCAGGTTGTAAGCAAGGTCATCTTTGGTCTCTGCTTTGATGAATAAAATCTTTCATGCTGCAGAACCTGCTCGTCAAGGGTGAGTTATAAGTGCAGCCTACATTTAGAGAACATGATGAGATGAGAGCTTGAAGTTATTTTTGTGTAAATAGATAGGACATTGACAAAAAGGACGAAAGTGCTGGATACAACCTTCAGCTTTCACAAAGAGATGTTTTGGCAGAATCTGAGTTTGGAAACTGAGCAAGCCATAATGGATGTTCAGTCCTTCGAACATCTGATCACAGATGTACCAGCAACAGAAAAAGACATGACACATCAATAGAAAGACATTCTTTACATCATTTTTCTTTTCTCTTTCTTTCAGGGAGACGATAACAGCAGTTTTGTGCTTGCCTTTGGCCTCACAAAAAAGGTATGATTTGAAAACAGTTGAAACATAGTCAGGGCTGTCTTTTATTTTTAAAACTCATTCCATTCAAGCAGGAATTTCATGTCAAAACTAGGCAAATTTTTGTCTGGCCCACAGACCTGTTGGGGTGCTCACTTTTAACCCTAATATTTTGTTTATATTTGGTCAAATGTATTCATATTACATACCAATATAAAGGAAAATGAAAAAAGATCCTGAAAGAAAAATTAATAAAAGTGAAATGAATAGTGGCAGAAAATTTACGAAAACACAGTAAAATGTAAAAGAAACGGCAAAACAAAAACTACTCTGCTATTGGTTTTGTGAAAAGTGGAACATTAATGGGAGAACCATGGATGGGTGTGTCTGATTAGATTTTTGAAAACCATAATTTCTGTACATTTATACACTTTGCACTAAATGTGTCATACATTGGTTTGATTGTTGTGACCTCTTCAATTACAATTTAATGAGTCCAATACAGTCCTTCTGTTTCCTCTTAAAAAAGAACCAAACTTTAGTAGATATTTGTGTGAAAAGGATCATGTGTGATAATTCAGGAATAATTTGCTAATGCAGATGTCTTCTCTTTCATAATTATGAAAGGTTGGTTGGTTCTATGGGGGGTCATGTTCTCTGTATTATAAGAATTACATGGTAATGAGAGGGTAAAGTTGATGCCGCTTTTAAGGTAAATGCAGAAAATGCTTCTTTGCACAACTCAGTAGAATTTCCTCATTAGAAACACTGCTTGTGGAAATTAAGTTTTTATTTTAGAGAAAATATTCTTGGACTATAGCCTTATTTACTTGCAAATCTTTATTATTCTCTGGTACATAAGTGATTCTTGTCTTAGTTTTCTGTTGTGTGTACGTTTTCCTCTCTCTCTCTCCTCATGTCCATAGGAGTACACAAGGTGGACCGGATTGGACGTGCATCATAGTTGGTTTCTCTTCGGGATACGTCAGAATGTATTCTCAAGTACGTTTTGTTGCTGTTCATCCCGCAGTCTTATGAGCTGTTGCCTTTAAGCCCAGCATTATGTGTTACGAAATGGAGGTTTCATTGGAAAAGTAGATCTCTTTTGTAGCAGAGGAAGCTGTCACAGTCGTTGAGTGGTTGCAAATTACGAGGGTCTGTGGTGTAATGATTAGGCTCTTTGCCATTGCATTTGAAAGATGTGGGTTTAATTCCCATGTGGGAAAGTATATTTTGTTGAGTATTTAATTGTTCCTGTCTGGATACTGCACCCCACTCAGCTAAGGCTAGGTCTGACAGGCAGGATTGAGGCAGTTTGCCACATAAATTATCTAAATTGTGTCAATGGTGATGTAAATCATTAACAACAAAAATCGTTTTTTCATTGCTGTGACATGTCCATCTGTGTTTGTGCTGTCAAGATAAAATGTTAGCTCAAAAGTTTTTAAGATCAGAACCACCTTTTCCCTTATTTAAGGAAAAACAACAGAACAAACTGTATCTCCTTAAACTGCCCCTATAGACCAATAGAAAAAGTAGCAGAGCACCAGTTTTGTAGAACACAAGTGAGTGCATACGTTCACACAGCAGTGAAGTGGTTAATAACTCTTCCACGAGGGGTTTATAATAACATAGTGTTCTATCATTTTATTATGTCATGCATGGTATAAAAATGTTATGAAAACCTGAATTTTGCAAGTGATTTATATTGTATTTATATGAGAGTTGAGTGTTTATTGATTTCACTCTTGTCTTTAATTTCAATTTTTTTTGGTTTTCTTACTCTTTTTTCAGACTGGAGTCTTGCTTTTGTCTCAGCTTCTCCATTTGGAAAAAGTGGAGAGGCTAAAGTGCCGGACGTATGCACCTCCTCGATTCCTTGGCATGGCGGAAACGGTAATTGATATTTGTTCCTTTTGTCACATTGCCCCATATTTCGATTGCATTTGCTTATTATGCTACAAGACTGGAGCACCAGTATCTTTGGTGTAATGGTTAGGCATTTTGCCTTTTCCTGCAGATGTATGCAAAATATTATGACCCAATCCAGTGTTAAAAGTGTATTTGCTCTCTTCTTTAAATTACAGAAAAATGATTTTTAAAAAACTCTGAGCACAATTTATACCTTTTAGTTAGCCAGGGTCTTCAGCCTGTTCTTTGGGTCCGATACCACAGAGATCAGTGCTCTGAATACAATAATCTAATACTATAACTTGGTACTTGTTAACCTTTTGATAGCTAACGCCTACTTTTACCTCCTTTGAGAGGCAAAAATTTTGTTCTGCCCACCTGCATATATTTCCATATATATTTCCTTTTGTATATAAAACTTGTGACTACAAGGGTGAGCCTCGCTGCTTACCAAAATTACCAAATCGCCTCTTGTGGGCAATATTGCCCAGGTTGGCAAGCGCTGCTTTAAATGCACTTAAGGAAGTTCACAGCCTCTTCTTACAGTGGCCGTATGTTCCCAGGCAGTTCTTTATGTCTATTCCCAGGCCTCTGTCTCTGTCTTTTCTCATGATTCTCAAAGCCAGTGTAGACTAATCTCTGGTTTATTGTATCTTTCTTTCTGAACAGCATGACGAGCTGCTCATTATGTATACCAAAGCCATTGTGTCTATTGATGGCTTTAGCCTGATCCAGACGCTTCGAGCTTGTCGCAATCAAGTTGCCAGAGGTAATAAGGAGAGCAGACTTGCGTTGCTTTACACACACTTGCTCACACTTTGGGGTTTATTTTAAACACTAGAGAAGGCTACTGATAAACCAGTCATCCAATAAACAAGTCTACATTGTATGTCCATAGTCTGTGACACCAGTCTACTTATTAATAAGTCTTCTAATAAGTCAGTCAAATGAAAAGTTAGTCTATTTGTTAAAAAGTTTATGAATAGACAAGTCTTGATTAACTGGACTACTGATAAGCCAGCTACTCATTAGTAGGTCTTTAATAAGTTGGATTCCAGACTGAGAAAAATCTAAACTGGAAATGTCCAAATATCCAAATATTTCTAAAAAGCCAGTACATTGTAGTATTGGTGCCTTCCATCACCTACTTCATCTGTGCTCCTCCTTCAAACTGGCTGAGATTATGGAGCTTTGTTCCCTATAAAGTGGGTGGTTGGAGGGCGTGTCACTTCTTTACTGTTCTTCTATCTTGCTTTTTTCAAAAACTGATTCATTATTATGTGGATGTACTTTTCTTTTTTCTCAAAAGTTCCCAATAGAAACAAGGTTTTTCATAATTGTGAGTTGATCAGTTTAAAAAAAAAGGCTGGTGGTTTTTGATAGGTAACCTTTTATGATGAACATGAGATATAACCTCTTATGAATTCTTTGCTAAGAGTTCTTGCTTTGTCTGCAGCGACTGCCAGTGGCACAGAGAATTTACTTCAGCCTCCACCATTGGCCTACAAGAAGTGGTCGCTTGGGGATCAGGAGCGGGTTGGAGATTATGTGGCTTGTGGTAAGAGGCTACTCTTCTCTTTCTCTTTTTTGACTGATTTTGACTAAACTGTTTTGGTTCTTCCTGACAGGGTTGCAAAATAATAATTCTTTCAAATGGAAGAAGCATAAATCTTATTTTGTTACATGACTAGTGTCTATTGTAATTTAGTCTAATACTATAGCTGATACTTATGAGGAAAGATAAGGGGTAAGAAAGAGAGTAAAAGGACAATAAACATATAATGTGCTTGGTATTCACACTCAAGACCTGTTAGAAATAAGTCTTTTTAGTTTTAGTAAAGTTTTATGGCACTCGCAACTGCATAAGGTCATATGTGCTCCAAGGGGTGGATGTCAACAGAGAAGTCCAAACAGAGAATCAGTCTTGTCTTACACTGCTCACCTCTCTAGCCTCAACAGCACAAAGTCTGCTTGGACTATCAGGGCACCCCAGAAATAGCAGTTCTGAAGAGAGTGACAAATATACAAAAGAACTAGAAGAAAATGACGATAGCAAGGATGAGGAAAGAAAAAGTAGCAGTTCCCCCTATGTTGTACCAGCACAGTATGAGCATGACATTGATAAATCAGCCCTATTAGTATTCTACTGTGCAGAACATGTTAATACCCCCCCCCCCCCCCTTTGGAAATGTTCTAAAGACACTTCAGTCAGTAACACTACCATGGGGGGGGGGGGGGGGGGGTAAGTCTTTGTTTGACTAATTTTTTCACCACATGGAAGTGTGTGATGTAATGTTTAGGATCTTCACCATTACCAGAATGAGTTCAATTCTTGTGTCGAGAACTATTTTATTGAGTATCGCTGCCTATCTGCTAGGTTGGTGTGTTGCTCTCTACCTGGGTTAGTCTTGGCTGGCAGGGTGGAAACAACCTGCCCCCTGAATAATTTCAGCTGTTCAGATGGTGAAGGATTACTTCTAAATGTCATTGCTGTTATGAGGCACTATGTAGTGGTTGTGGATTTGATTCCTGTTCTGAGATTGCTGTCAGTGAAATAAATAAATTTGAAGTTGGGGTACTTACAGACAAGAGGTGATTTTCTTATCTTTTTCCTACACAATGAATGTTATCCCTTTGAATGCTCAGTGGATGTAGCTTACGATGGTACGTAACGAGACGTTCACTCGTCTTCATGAGAATGTAAAGAAGTCCCTAAATATGTCAGTGACAATGTAATATTATTATGTCTTTAATACTATTTCTAGGGAGTGACATGTCTTATGCGCAAAGAGTTGGAGCAAAGACTGTTGAAAGAAATATTGTTTGTCGAACGAAGCAATGTTTTCAGCAGTGCTGGTGGTGAAGTTTAGGTTAATGCATACGTAAGTGACACTTTTTTAAAGAGTGAACCATTGTGCAGTGGACTGTTTTTGGTATAGCGTGACGTAAGAATGTATTAAATATATGACAAGAAAATAGAACCGTCAAATGTCATTTGTTCCTCGGTGAAATGTACTGCTTTGTGTTTAGTTTTGGTAGATATTTTGTCAATAGATCTCCATTCATCTAGGTTTTGTTTTTGTTCCTCTTTTGTAAAGATCAAAGCTGGGGGTTTGAGGGCACCACAGGCATGTCTCACTTCTTTACTACTGGTCTCTTGTTTATGTATGTCTTCTTTTTTTTTCAGATCTAATTATTTGTCATTGAGTTTATGAGCATCACTTTATGTGAAGAAGTAGATTAAAGATCAAAATTTTTGTTTTTCTTTTCCAGGCGTTGTGTGTGCCAACCCGTTTGACCAGCTAAAAGCTGCGTCCATGTTGGGAGGTATGAAGGCCGCGGTGAAGACGTCCCCTCCAGCCATGTCAGTGTTCTTGACCTCGGGCTCAGGCCCGTATGTCGGATTCTTTTACGCTATTGAGGTGCATAATCCAACGTTTTGCTGCCATTGTTGCTGTCTGAATGTTAAAATATTAATATTTAGAGAACCGGTGTCTGGTGTGTAATGGTTAGGATTTTTGCTGTTACAGAAGACGGAGTTCAATACCTGGTATGTGGAAGGGTTACAGTGGCGCTTTTTTTTGTGTGCACGTGGATCTAGAGGGTTAATATGGGCTGACAACCAGTCTCTCCCATTTCCTCCCCAGTCCATATGACTATGACACTAGGACTCCTGTGTGATGAGAATGGCAGGATTGACGTGACTTAAGTGGAACCAGCATAGGCAATTAGCTGTTACTTTGATGAGGTGTTCTTTTTCTCCTCAGAACTGGATATTGCTGTTGTTCCCAGCTTTTGAATATCCTCAAACTTGACATGATCATGTGTTAGGCAGAGAGTTTTATTGGATCTGGACTAGGCCCATTTTGCAAAAGTGAATGAATAGAGGAAGAATGATGTATTTTAAAAATGATACTCTTAATTTGATTCAATTTTTTTTATAGAGGGGAATATTTTATGTACATGCTTTTCACAATTATGAAGAAAGAGTGCTAATTGCATTACATTCACACCTGTACAGACATGCCGACTTCTCGCTCAGTGTTTTTTACTTGAAGTCTTAAGAAGTTGCAGTTCTGTTGTATTGTCCAGATACTCTTCTATTTAAAAAAAATCCTTTTAACCTAGACTGCTTCATTTTGTTTCAGGGTTTTGCCCAACCAATTCTGTCTGAAGTTGCCATAGCGATGGCAAACAAAATCAAGAGTGCACTGTTGTCTGCAGCCAGGTAATTTTTGAGTCGTAGGATTCCTTTCACAAATAGTTTGAAGGTGCCACAGGTCCTTCCTCTTTTCTCTCCCGTTGTTTTTATTTCTGTCCGTCTTGCCTTTCCCTTCACTAAATAATGGTCATTGTGTTATTCACTTCTCTTTATTCAAATGGATTGTTTTCAACCTGAAAGGCAAATTTTGTGCTCGGCAAATATTTACTTCTTCAGAAATACAAATTTCGTGTGGTTTAGAGAAGTGGAGAAATTTTGAAGTCGCTTGATTTCAGTTGCACATTCTAGTTTAGTGTATTTCTTGTGCCTCATACTATTCTTTTTCTGATGAAAAGGAAAAGGGGAGTGTTAGACTGTCGTAGAAAATGTTTTGTTAGGCTTAGTTTGCCTTGTGATTGTATGACATGAGAACATGAGATAGCGCGGGTTGTGGAGAAGTTTGAAGAGTTCAAAATGTATAATAATGGTTTGGCATAAAGGAACCCCTACTGATTGCTTGTATCAATACGAAGTTTCATTTTCTTGTGGTTTGCCTTAAAAAAAATTCTTATACATGTTTGTGAATATTGTTAAATTTGGGGCTTTAAAAAAAAAAAATGTACTTGATGTTTCAGTGGATGGCTTGGGTTTGGGGGCAAAGCAAAAGAAGAAAAAGAGAAACCTCCGAAGATTGAACCAGCCACCCCATTGCCTCTGAGGTAAGCTTATTGTTCTGTTGTGCATAGTTATTGGAATTTTTGTCTTGCTAGGGAAAGATGGAGAGTGAAGTGATTTGTGTAATGATTAATGGTGGTGAAAAGCTCTTTGAAAAATTAAATGGTCTTATTTTGGTAATTGTGTTGGGTTCTTGACATATTTTTTCTTCTTCTACTTTTATGGTAAAATTAGTCTCTATATTTTCTGGGGTCTTCTCTCCTTTTTTTTCTAGGTTTGGACTCCCAGACAAGCGTCGATGTGGAGAAATGATCATCCTGTCTCCCAACAACAATTTTGCTGCCACAACTGACAGCTTTGGTCGTATTATCTTGATAGATGTACAGCGAGGGATGGCGGTCCGTATGTGGAAAGGTATTTTTCCCTAACACCCACGTGTAGTGATAAAAACACTGATTGGAATTCTGCTTTTGGTTTCATGATCATAGCCAAAGCTGCTCTTCCTTTTCCACACTGCTTCTGTAACCCTGGCATGAACTGATGCTTGACTGTGATCTCTTTGAATGTGTTTTCAATCTAACATTTTTAAAGGCTCCTTTTTTTTTTGGACACATTCCTTTATTCTACATAAAGGTGTACAGATCTCTAATAAAGTGAGACAAACTGGATGGTTTGTCCAAATACTCGTGCTAAAGGATATGGGTATTCAAGTAGATTTGAAAAATTTCTGTATTATCTAGATTTAGGTTTCGAGAAGCTAAATTCTCATTTGTCCCTTTATGGCACAGTAGCATATGCACTTGTTGATTCACTCATGGATATTGTTAAAACAGATACATAGATACCAATATTCATGACATATCTTTGCATGTTCCCAAGTCCATGTTTTGCAGAGATTTGACTTCTTGTCTTAGCTGAGGTTTTAGGAAATCCTGTGGGTACTTGGAAATGATTTGCGTTTGAGCATTTGCTTGCTCAGTGTGTTTCATTCTTATCGAAAACAGTTAACCTGTCCAGCTCTTTGGATATATATTTAGTAGAAGTCACTAAAGTAGGCTCCAATGAGGTATAAAGCAGGGATTAGGAGAGGTTGGCTTCTTTATCACAAAGATACCAGCTTGGGCTCAAGATGAAATGTCAATGTTGCAGGTTACAGAGATGCCCAGTTGGGATGGATTGAAGTGAAAGAAGAGAGTGTTGAACCGGGCAAGAACAATGACCACTACAGGCTGGCTCAGTTCCTCATCATCTACGCCCCTCGCAGAGGAATCCTTGAGGTAACTGTGTGGCAACTGTGGAAAAGTAGTTAGTGACCCAACCCTCCCCTCTAGCTCACTGGTTTGACAACTCTTCCAGGGAAGACAGACTTGCAATCAGGGCAGGAATTTTTAAGACTGCTGGTGTACTATGCATTGTGACCCTGCGGTGTTGAATTCATGAATGTGTTTCTGATACCACTACGACTCCCTATTTTTATGTGAATGACTTCAAGGAAACTTGAGTTATATGTATACAATAGAACACGGCTATAGCGGGACATTTTGTTTCAGAAAAAAAATCCCTCTGTAAGCGAGTTCCAGCTATAGGAATGCAATGGGGAAATTACCGAAAAACTTCTAAAAATCCACTTGAATACCTCCCTTCCATATCAATAAAATTTGCGCTTTTGATTAGTCTTCTTTTTCTTATCAACCTCGTTGATTATCTCAGCTTTTAATTCGAGTGAGAATCATTCCCTTTTGTCATTGTTGGAAGCCATCATTTACTCGGTTTCGTTGCTTGTGCTGTCTATTGTACCGGAAGAACAACTGTTGAACTGGTGCAGTGGATGTGTGCGCATGCTTATTACCGTCTATAATTGCAATTCAATGAATCAGGAATCACACACTACATGCTCTCCTCTTCTTTAACTTTTACTTTTTGGCCTAGGGCTAGGGCTAGGGCTGTGGCCTATACCCTCTCATCCTGAGCCTCTAACTAAGCTAAGGCATATCACTTTTGGAGTGGCTCGTGTAATGCGTCTCTCTGCCGCCTGCCCCACCTCACTCATCACTGGACTGGCCATTCACAACGCGGCACCGCTGACTGCCTGTTTGGAGCCCGCCTACAGCCCCCCAACCCCCTACCCCCTAGCTAGAGCTCGCTCGATCTCTCCTGCTGTATCCGAGTTTGGGCCTTTCCTTGCCCCACCAAACCCGAGCACAGGTAATTGAGTTTACATAGAGACAAAAAAGGGGGATTTCGGTAAGGTCCCGCTGTAGCGGGTGCCACTATAGTCGTGTTCTACTGTATTTGCTTTGTCTGGAAGAGTGACTACCTAATTTAAAAACATTTCTTACCTCTCTGCTCCACGTCGTGCAGTTAAAAAATGGCCCGAGCAGGAATGTTCACTTCATAAGCGCAATCTATTTTTGTACTTGTTATTAGTATTGTTGTATTATTATTATTATTATTGTTTGGTCAGGTCAAGGAACCCAAATTGTGTTGACTAGGGTGTAAAACTCAAAAATGCTTTATTTGCAGGTGTGGCTGGCTGCTCATGGGCCTCGTGTTGCAGCCTTCAATGTGAGCAAGTCGTGTAGACTGGTCTGCCCCTGCTACGGCATGATGGGCCTGAACAACGTCACGTGTAGAGGTGTCCGCTCCAGGGTGTTCCAGTGTGCTCTTATTGACCCTGATGGAGTCATCAAGACCATCGATATTCCATTCCACCTGGCCTTGAGGTATGTTGACTGTCTCAGCTGGATGGTAGCCACTCTTGTGGGGTTTGCTCTGTTTCTTAAGTTATTTCTATTCCATTGTGTTCATGGAACCATAGGCCTATACTGCGTCTCAAGTTGATTGAATTCAATGTTTAAAAAAATAAATAAGATACTGCTGAATTAATCCCTTAGTGCCCCAAGTGGTAATTTGGATTACAGTGATGAACTTAAAACATACATGATAAAGACATAAGTACAATATGTTATTGATTCTGCATCAGTGACAATATCACACCAACACTGGCAATCTGCACAGCTGTGCTGGTCACCAGTGTCAATGAGATGTGTATGAAATATGTAGATTTGTATAGGACAGGCTATAAGATTCCATGTAAGGCTCCATACACACTTAAAAATTCATACATTTTTTAAAGCTAGTCACATAATTGCGAATATGAAAACGAGGCAATTTTCACCCGTCTGTCTTGCAAATGGGGGCAGTTCTGTTTTGGTTCGTCGTCTATCTTTGCAGGTTTCAGGCATCTAAGCACATTTCAGGTGAAACTACATTTCACCTACTGTAAATTGCATGCTAAATATACATTTAGGTCCAATTAATTGTCCTCAAAATGACGTTTAGAATTGTCCAAACAATTAGAATTTTCTTTGAAAAGATTGTCCCTGTAGACATGACATTGCTTGGTTTGCTGTGCCAGGATTGCATTTTTGTGTGTGGAGAAAAGCTTAGTTCAGTCTGCATTTTGAAGTCTTGAGATCTAGCATTCTTCGGTGAAAGGAAGTGGGAAATATTACAAAGGTGAAAAAAGTTTGTGGATATTACATACTAATACATATCTGGTGTTTGCTTGTTTTTTTCCCCCTCATCAGTGACAAAAGCAGCAAGAGAGCAAGGGACCTGCACTTGCTAAAGAAACTCAAGACTTTCCTGAAGGAGTCCTCCGAGGACAGAGGTACGGGATACGCTTACCTTTCCATGACTCTACTTTTATCTAGCTCTCTTGTTTTTCTGTGCACAATGTGCTCACTGTTATGTAGTTTTGGTGACTTTGCCAAGTGTGGGGATGCTTTTCTTAACCCTGCTAACACTGCTGGAGGTCACGGGTAGATGTACTGTCTTTGTGCTGCATGGACTGATGGCAGTATTAGGGAACTGGTCACAGTGCAAAGGCAATATGGTGAAGGGGGTCTCCTTTGTCTATCGACAGCAACACTGAAGAGAAGTTTTATGGGAAGAGATGCCTGGGATTCTCTTGGGAAGCTACTCATAAACTCGTATACAGTGCACTGGTTCAGCTGTTGTGCTGTCAGCACCATTTCTCCACCACCTCGGCGTACCTTGCACTCGGCATTGCTGTTATTTACAGTCATTATAAAAATCCAGAAAACCCTTGTTATCTGTAATTCAACTTATGTGTACTGCATGGTTGGCGGGTCCTGTGGTGTGGTTTGCTTCTTCTTTCCTATCAAACATCTATCGTCCTTATCTCTCCTCCTTTTTTTGTGAATGTTATGCTCTTGTAACACGTAATTTATTCTTCGGCACTTATATATATGACCTTATTGTGTTGCAAGTGCCGTAAAACTCTTACTAAAACTGAACTCTTTCTTTTGTACTTAGTTTGGTGTTCATTTTATGCAAATAGGTTAAACTGGAGTTGAGTTACAGGTAATTTGTGATAGATGTGTCTACCAAAAAGCTAGGTTACAAAACTGACTGCTTAAAGATGGTAAAACCCTCCATATCCAAAGAGTTTATATGACCTTCACTAATTTGTCAAAGAATGCTTGTGATAGAAGTCATTTATCTTGAGCGTCTTGGTTAAAAAAATACGTTTCTTGTTTGATAAATGGTTTTGTGCAGGGGTTTTTCATTCTGTGGCCCATTTACATAGATCTATGATTATAGCATGAATAGGGTTGAAGTAATCTTTGTACTGGGAATGTTGTCTTGTCCACAAGTTTTGGGAATTGTTTGCTTTGTATGAAGAAAATGTGGTGACTGACATGAAAATAACTTGAAAATGGGCTGTCAAAGATAATTTGTCAAGATGGTAAAAATGGCAGATGCATTTATGGTTACGATGGCAACTAAAGGCTCCTCACAGAAAATATCCTTGTGTTGATGCTGTTGATAACAATGACGTAATAAAATCATTGGAGTCGTTCTGTTTTCTATTCAAATAGGATTTGGCCGTCGGAGTCATAGATAGCCATGTGAAGTATAATCAGTGTATACTTTTTATGCTGATTTTTCATGATTTATTTCTTAAAGTCCAAGCAATGTACTGTAATTCTGATGTTTTTATTTTCTTATTTCAGAAGGACTCCAGGAGACAATTATAGAGCTGCTGCTTGATCTGAAAGTGTCCAGCATTGCTCACCAGGTTTGTCTGTTTCCCAATTGAGCAAATCTTCTTGTGTGTTTCAGTGGATTGGAGGAGGGAGAGGGGAGGGTTGTGTGACTTCCTGTTTGGTCTACTTTTTTTTTCTTCAATTGTTTAAACCTGCAAATTGTAGTTGTATGGCTTTTGCAGGTCTAATGAGTAGCGTATAATGTGATGCCCTGACCCCTTTATTGTTTTGTGTGTTGGTGGTTGTTGGGCACTCAGGTTTGTCAAACTCTCTTAGTATTTGTTTTGTTTAGTTATTTTCCTTATCTGATCCCAACAAAATGTGTCTTGACAACTCCTCTCGTCTTTTAGATCACAACCATTCACCCCCCCCTCTCTTTTTGATCACAGGCTATTGAAAGAGTTCTCAGTACCAGATATCTACCTGTGAAGGTCATGCAAAACATTGTGAGGGCTTCTATCAAGAGGTTGGAAGCAAGAGGTAAGCCCTTGTAATGCCTGGGGAAAGGAAGGCATAAATTGTAGAAGCTATGTAAACTCCGTTCTGTGCTGTCTCAGGGAGTGCCACAAACCTGGAGTTGGACAGATTTCTCCTGGTTTGGCCCCATCTGTTGGTCCTGCTTTCTGCTTTTGTTATTCCAGTCTGTTCCATGGGATATTTTGTTTCTATCTCATTGAAATTTAAAGTCACCAACACCTGTGCAAATTATTTGAAAGATCATGTAACTGCCTGATTGTTCACTCCCTGATTTGGGATACTATAAAGATATCCTTTAAAATGCTGATGGCAACATTTTTACAGTCTGTATGCAATGAGCAGGAGCAAAGATTGTTATGAAAGTACTTCTTGATAAGAAATGGAACATTTCTATTATCACCCAGGTTATGACTACTACAAAAATATGTTTTGATTTTTGAGGATTGAAACAATTAAAAAAAACTTTTTATCTCCGGCAAGCCACTCCCAGCGGCTCACGGTCGGAACCTCTGTGCTGGTGAGCTGCTAACAGCGGCTCGGGCACATTCCTTTACGGCGACTTCGACATCAAATTACTTTTCGGCAATTGTGACAGGTCTCTTACACCGGAAGTTCATTCATTAGATGAAGAAGAAAACAAAATAAGTTTGCTAGTTTCGATTTAATGACCCATTTAATGATGTTTTGGTCATTTTTAGATTTAGCACCCAGAAAGGGTCCCGGCGTAGTGTGTTTACCCCCCTCTGAGATAAAGAGTTAACGAGAGTAAACCAATCTTGTAGTTTACTATTTTAGCCATGTGTATGATTATTTTTATTGTTCACTTAGTTGATCACCTCAGTGCAATGACAATATTTCTCATTGTTCTAGGAGATGAGACTCTGGACCTGGACAGCCGCATGATGCTCAAATTCTGCAAAGCCCAGCGGTCGCTCTTGGCTTTGTACGCCTCTGTGCAGAAGCTCAATTCTGGCCAGATAGAGGAGAACAGACTGTCAGCATCTGAGGTTTGCTTCTTGAATTTTACATTTATAATGTCACAAAATAATAAACTTAAAAAAAAAACCCAACTCCACTTTTATATCTCAGTGAAATAAATATTAAGTGAACTCAAATTTTCTAAAATCTGTGTTAGGAAGTTTTGTTACAATTGAGAGGTACATACATACAATAGTTTATCAACATTCCTTTGAGCCCTGGTTCCCTGAGCCTATGGGACTGATGCACTTGAATTATCTTGGGTCAGCTGCTAGATATACACCACCACACTCTGAGGTGTGTATTTTATGCATAGAAGGGTAAAGATAACATTCATTCAGGTGTTCGCTCGGGTACATAGGATTAATGCCTCTCCTATTATTTCACTTATTTGGGTCAATGACTTTCTTTATTGATCTTCTAGATTCTGACTGATGTCCTGCGCAATTCTTCAAGGGAAGCAGCGATGGTCCTCAAAACTCTGCTTAGACTCGACGCTCTGACCACTCCCCCCAGCCCAGAGCGGCAGCCATCTCGGGTTACTTTCAATGATGACCGACAGCCTATTGCAGCCACTTCCTTCCTTCATGCGTTCTCCTACCGTTCTTTGTTCAGTACTGAGGAGGACCCTGCATCTGCCTCTCCTCCGTCTGGGAAATTGACACAAATCACCATCAGTAAAGAAGCTACCGAAGAGAGGAGACTGGCTTTAGGTAAAGACTGTGTTACCACTTTGCCATCACAAGGCTCATATAGTAAAAACTCTTGCCATCAAAGGGAAAGGCATTTTGGGGAAAATCCAAAGAAACTGGGTGGTAACCATCTCTGATCGGCGAGATGAGGCGGCAAAGTGCTAAGAAATGATTTATAATAATAATTATAAAAATAATAATAGTAATAATGATGATAATAGTAGAGTTGGGGTGAGCGGACGGACGGGTTCGTTACTCGCGGACTCAGTCAGAGCGAGCGGGTAACGGACGGCCATGAGAGCGAACTGCGAACCTCAAGACAGTTAGTTTTTTGGGTCCACTCCACAATTTGACTCTCCCAGCGAGCGGACTGTGGACCTCAAGCCTCAAGTCAGTTAGTTTTTTGGGTCCGCTCCACAATTTTATTCACTGGGCGGGCGGGCAAACGGACGAACTCTAGCAGACGAGATACCCGACGCGAGGTTAGGTCCATCGTCTATTGTTTGTTAATTAGTCCTAATGTTTCAAACCACTAGCGGTGCCACAGGGAGTGAGAGAGGCTGGTGACGTAGTACTATGTGTGTAACCTTTCACCTCGTGCGTGGGTCACAGTGTGTACGTTCCAATTATCGCAAAGGCCGGGGGAGAAATTTCCGCCATGAACGCCTAGCTACAATGTGAGGCAGGAGGGGGATTTTAAAATTAATTTGGGGGGGGAGGGGCTGTAAGTTGTATGCAATGGAAGGAGTCGCTCCCGTCCGTCCGTCCGCCCGCTCGAATGCATGGAGTCTCTCCCTCCGCCCGCCCGCCTGCTCGCTAAACGAACTGTTGTCTCTATCCGGTGTGTAGCGAGTAGCGAACTACTCTTCTCAAGCGGACGGTTCGTTACCCGTCCACTCGTTTGCGGGTAGTGCCAGTGAGTATTTCGTTACTCGCGGACGCTAATTTTGCGAGCCCGACCCAACACTAGATAATAGTAATAGTAATTATAATAATAGTGATAATAATAATACTGTTGATAATTTTAAAAATGTTCTAAAAGAATGGACAGTTACAGCAGGGGGGCTATTGAAGAGAGGAAAATGGTTTTAAGTGAAACTTATATGTTTCTTGTCAATTTCTGAAGGAAAGGATGTTTATTGTCTTTTTGGCTTATTGCTCACTTGACTTTGTTCGCACTGTAGATGGGTTAGTCTTTTCTATGAAGGCTCAATACAAGAAAATGCTAGAATTCTTGAACTCTCCTTAAGTGAAAATGGTTCTATAGTTCTCTTTTGTAGTTGCTTTTTATCTCATACCTGTCTCATTCCAAGCCATGTCATCTTGTCTCAAGTCATTTTGTCCCATCTGTTTCAATCGCATTCCATTTGATGTAATCTTATCCCGTAGTGTGAAGAAACCATTGACATAGATTACTCTTGATTAGTTTTGTCGAGCCCTGTTTTGTTATTAAAATACACAATTTATCATCCAAGTCGCTTTTTACAGGTGGGAGGTTTTTTATTCTCCTTTTAAAAAAATAGGAGTATCCTTGTATTGTAAAAGTCTTTGTTTCCCCTCTATGAGATGTGTACTTTGGAGACATCACAATGATACCGTGCCACAACAAACTGGTTTTTAGGTCATATTTGATAAAGAAGCCAGTGTGGTTTGTGTGTGCTTATCTCACTGGTCGATGTTATACAGGTGTGTTTGCTTGTTTTCTAAATGAGTCTCTATGACATGTCATGGTCTTTTTGTTTTCCACTCATACCTCTCACAAGTGTCTGGGTCAACAATAGAAACAGTTTGAACAAATACAGCAGTGACAACAGCAACTATAACACCAAAAACTACACTGACAGCAATGGCAACAAAAATGATAACAACTATGGCAATATAACTACTGTTACAACTATAGTAACAAAAACTGTAGCATCTTTAACAATGTCTGCAACAAAAATAATGACAACATCTACAGCAACAGCATCTTATGTCTCCTCAGCTGAGTTCTTGTTTGGAGGTTGTCTCCGTGGGACTTGCCAGGCCCCAGAGCTTGTTTCTGTCATCCAGGAGAGCGGCCTGCCCCCGGACCAGCTCATGGTAAGCTCTTGTCCCCAGCATCTATGTGTTTGAGTTGTGAGTTGATGAGGGTTTGTGTCTCCTAAATCGACCTCAAAGCTTGAAGGCATTTGACAGCAAATTAGTTATGTGCACTGCTGGCTGCAGTTTGATTGACTAATTGTAAATGTTTTGTCTTTATTGATGCAGCTAAGATGGCTTAAGATTCTCCTTGCGTACTGTTTTGTCTGATTCAGTTCCCTGCACAGGCTGAACTAGAAACTATTCAGTGCCGTGTAACCCTGAAATCACTCAAAGAAAATTGTACTCTGAATCAAAGAAAACAGTTTGTTTTGCAGGGGAGATATTACCATATCAACAATATATTGTGGATTGGCACTGAAAGAGCATATAATTACTCTTGTTGTACCAAGATTTGTATGTGGACTCTCCATATGTTCATCATTTGATTCAGATTCTTGTCTCTCTAATTTTCCATCAAATTGTTTTTGCCCCAACCCTTATCACTTCCACCATTTGTCCATTTGTCATTTATCCCCCAATGTGTATGTCATTTATTCCCGCTGTCGCTGCATCTTCTACTTCTCCATGACAGAACTTGTTGCTTCTCCACTGGCTCTCTGAGAGTGGCCGCAGTGTGTCCAGTCTGGGCAGTCTCTACGAGCTGGTCAAAAGCATCACAGCCATGACAGGTAAAGTGACCCTTTCATCAATGGAAGTTAAAAAGATTTCAGTCTACTTTTTAAAGATGATATAGCAAAGATTACCAGTTCACGTTGATATGTCTTGTCTATTGATGTAGTATCATGCATGTACGCTGGATGTACAATTCAAGGGCAACAACCACAGCATTTTTTCATAAACCTTCAGGGCTTTGTCATAAGCCCTCTGCTCTTCATTTTAAACTTGCAGCACTTTCTTTTATACTGGAAGTAGCTGAGGGTTGCAGGTGGTTGGAGAATGCCACTGGTAGGTCCTGTTTCTTTTCTTTCATTTTGTCTTTTCCTGTTTGTTTGTCTTACTGTTTCCCTGCACTAAATGTCTGTTATTGTGTCAGTGTGCTTCTCTTTACTCTAACTAAAGCTGCTGGTTGGAATAAAGGACATGCTTTATCACTGTTTGCTTTTTGAGACTGGTTTGAAAGCATTCTATTGGGTGGTTGACGGGTGCTCTGGTGTGGTTTCCTCTTTCTTTCCAATTCTACATCAATAGTCCTTATCTCTCCTCCTTTTTTGTGTTTGATACACTCTTGTAACACCTCTAATCTTCGGCCTTTATATTACCTTATTGTGTTGCAAGTGCCATAAAACTCTTAGTAAAAAAGAAAGCATTCCTTTACAGAATGACTACAAAAACACAAGAAGATAATTTTAGACTTTTGTTACATTTATTGTATCTAAGCTTCAAAGAATGGTCAAATGACGTTGAATATCCCTTTACTATTTATTATTACATGGGCAGTCTCTTTAATATTTCAAAACCTTCTCTCTTTCCTTTAAACAAAATAATGAAGGAAACAGGCAGTCTAATAGTGTGATTATGTGTTTTTGCCTACAGATGTCAATGAAGTTGTAGTTGACTCAAACGAGTTCTCAGCTTGGTGGACTCGTGTGCGAAACATGTGCAGTCAGTCTGTGAACTGCCGTGCTGCCTACCTGGCTGTTCTTGTGTGTAAAGCTGTGGCGGCTCATGCTTTGGGTGTCGTGCCAAAGGAAAAGGTAATCACTCTCTACACACTTGCTTTATGTGTCCATGACCATTTGTTAGTCCGTGGGTGGTTGGAGAGCGTAGATAACGTGAAATGGTAAAGCTGCTTGCTTACATGCCAAAAGTAGTAGGTTCACTTTTGTTTGTTGTGGCAAAGGAAAATGTAATCAATCAAAGATCCTCAACATTTTGCGTTCACTTGCCACAATAATAAGACGGTGAAAATTATCCGTTCCGGTCACTTGACACAGTTTTGCAACAGGCCCGAGAAGTCTGTTGCAGTCACTCTCCTGGCTGGGTGACCAGATGGGGTATTTTGTACTGCTGGCTGTGTGACTGCAAAGTGTGAACCGTTAGAGTCCTGGATGTGATGAAAGCAGCTGTGTTGTAGTGAGGGAAATTATTTATGTATTAATAACATTGTATTACGGATTTACCCACTGGGATAAATAAGAGTAGTATTTTTCCTTTTCTTTTTAATGCATGTTTCTATACAATGACCTTTGTCTTTAGTGTAATGGTCAGGTTTTTTATTGTTGCAAGCAAAAATATGAGTCTGAGTCCTGTGTCTGCTGAGTTCATGTGTTATACTCAGCTTTGGTTTGTCATGAAAGGCTAAGTAAAAGCATCCCCCACCCCCCTTTCTAAATGATCAAGATTATGTTTATGGAAGTGTAAAGCATCTACAGACAATCAGACTTTCTATATATTGGTGTCTCCTTCTGCTGTCACCAGGATCCGGATGCTGATTCTGCGAGCAGCACATCAGACGACAACGAGGCCGGAGACGGGACCAAATTGTCGTCGGATCTCAGCTTGGACAGCCAGGACTGGGAGACGGTGACGGTGGACATGGAGTCCTGGGAGGTGCTGCTCAAACAGTGCGAGGACGTGCTGGCCATCACCACACTTCTCAACATCCACACGGAAGAGGTGGCCGGGAGCGCGGGGAGCGAGCAGATCACTGTGTCTGTGAGCAAGCTTCTGCAGAGTGGCAAAGGTACATGGGGTGGGGTGAGGGGGGGGGGGTTATTTGTATGTGTCTCATGGGATTTAGACCCCCATTTTTAGTATTCCAAGTGTTGGTTGTTGTTGGGGTTGTTTGAGAGTTCAAAAGAAACTCCTATTTGCACTAAAACGTTTCAAGATTTGTAATGAAATATATCCTATTGGCCACCCATTATTGACAAGAAAAAATGTCCACCAAAGACAGGTGCACGGAGGTCCAACACATTGTCATGACAATGAAACGAAATACACAAGAGAGGAAATGGGAAGTAACCATGTCTTCAATTACGTCTGATTGTCTTATATAGTGGTGTTCAAAAGAAACTT